GGAAAGCAGTATGGAGGTTCCTCAGAAGACTACACATGAAGGTCCCCTATGACCTAGCAATCCCACATAAATATATATATGTATGTATATATATGTATATAAATATTCAAATGGCCTGTAAAAGAATAAAGTAGCCAGGTGCTAGTGGTTTAGGCCTGTAATCCTAGGAGGATCAAGGTTCAAAGCCAGCCTGGGCAGGAAAAGCCGTGAAACTCTTATCTCCAATAAGCCACTAGAAAACCAGAAGTGGTGCTGTGGTTCAAGTGGTAGCCTTGAGCTGAAAAATGCAGGCACACTACCCAGGCCAAGCCCCAGGATGACAAAGAAGAAGAAGAAGAGGAGGAGGAGGAGGAGGAGAGGAGGAGGAAGAGGAGGGGGGGAGGAGGAGGAAGGGGAGGGGGGAGAGGAGGAGGGGGGGGAGGAGGAGGAGGAGGAGGAGGAGGAGGAGGAAGGGGAGGGGGGGAGGAGGAGGAGGGGGAGGGGGGGAGAGGAGGAGGAGGGGGAGGGGGGGAGGAGGAGGAGGAGGAGGAGGAAGGGGAGGGGGGGAGGAGGAGGAGGGGGAGGGGGGAGAGGAGGAGGAGGGGGAGGGGGGGAGGAGGAGGAGGAGGAGGAGGAGGAGGAGGAGGAGGAGGAGGAGGAGGAGGAGGAGGAGGAGGAGGAGGAGGAGGAGGAGGAGGAGGAGGAGGAGGAGGAGGAGGAAAGAAGGAAAGAAGAAAGAAGAAAAAGAAGAAGAAAAGTTTTTCCAGGCCTGCTCTAAGGCCTCCATGGGAGCCCTGGGTATGTGGAGAACAGCTGACACAGCATAGTCTTGCCATTACCTAAATTCTCAAAGTATTGGTCAAACTCTTGAAGTCTAGTACTTTAGGTTTGTTACTCACATATGGTGAGGGAAGAGGATCCAACAAGTTTTAACAGAACCTTTTCCAAGGGGGAAGATTTTTTCATATTCTTGAAAGGAGGGTAGAGTTCACTCTAAATTCTCATACAAAAGATCTGTTAAGATGTCCAATCTTAAAACCTTAAAGCAGAACAAAAACAGATTCAAAAGCAAAAGCATCATGAAGCAAACTAAGTATCTGAAATCATTTCAAAGCTATGAACAGTAATTTAGTGTTTGGGAAAGCTAAAAATAGAACTATGATATAATTCTGCTGTACCACTCTTGGGCATATATCCAAAGGAATGAAAGTCAGCAAACACTCTAGATAACAGTATACCCATGTTTATCACAGCACTACTCACTACAGCCAAACTATGGAATCTGTCTAGGTGTCCATCAACCGATAAACATTTCCAGAAAAATGAATGAACTTGGAGAGCATTATGCTAAGTGAAATAAGTCAGAATGAGAAAGACAAACATTGCACGTTTTCTTTCATATGCAGAATCTAGACCTGAAAAGAAAAATGACATGAATGTAGAAGGACTCTTTAAAAAGGTAGAGGGAGAAGAAAAGACAGGGTGATGAAGGAATGAATACAATTGAAATGCTTTCGATGCATGCATGAAAACAAAGAATGAAACTCATTAAAAATTGTAAAAAAAAAAGTCCTGGCACAGTGGTCCACATCTATAATCCAGCTATGCAGATGGCAGGGATAGGAGAATCATGGCTTAAGGCCATTCAGGGAAAAAGTGTGAGGTTTTTAATCTTAAAAAAAAAAAGCTAAAGACAAAAGACTAGAGGTGTGACTAAGTGTTAGAGCATTTGCTTAACAAGTGTAAGATCCTGAGTTCAATCCTCAGTACTGGAGAGACAAGGAAGCATAATAGAGAGATAAGGAGATGATCCAAGAACATTATGTGGGTATTTCCACAGCACAATGAAACCTTTTTGTAAATTAATGTTCACTAAAAACTCCAAACATCTATTTTTGATATATATTAGTTTTTTTTTGTCTGTGTTTAAATTTTGTAACCTAAAATGTGGGATAAACTGGATATTTATTTATGCCAGTATGGGAGCTTGAAGTCAGGCCTGAGTGAGGTCCATTAGCTTTTTCACTTAAGCCTGGCAAGTCTACCACTTGAGCCACAGTTGTACTTCAGCTTTTTTGTGGTAATTGGAAGTCTCATGGACTTTTCTGCCCATCATGGCTTTGAACTTGGATTCTTAGGTCTCAGCTTCCTGAGTAGCTAGGATTACAGATATAAGTCACCAATGCAGAGATATTTTTTAATTAAAAGTTTTAAAAATTATCTTTAAGTAGTTGTATAAAGGGGTTTCAATTCACCATATCAGTTTATGAATACAATGCATCTTGATCAATGCCACTCTTTCCATCATCATTCTCCATTTCTCCCAACCCCATCTATCCTCTCAAGTTACCCAAACCTGATTTTTTTTGTTGTTGTTGGTAGTGGGGCTTGAACTCTGGGCTTGGGCGCTGTCCCCCAGCTCTTCAGCTCAAGGTGTGCGCTCTACTGCTTGAGCCACAGCACCATTTCCGGTTTTCTAGTGGTTTATTGGAGATAGGAGTCTCACATGGACTTTCCTTCCTGGGATGGCTTTTAACTGTGATCTTCAGATCTCAGCCTCCTGAGTAGCTAGGATTACAGGTGTGAGCCATTGGCGCCCAGCTAAACCAGATTTTTTTAAGAAGAAAATTAATTCCTAAAGAAGAAAAATTTTCTTTTTCTTACTTCTGTCCTTCCCTTTCTCCATATTTTTCCTTCCTTCCTTCCTTCCTTCCTTCCTTCCTTCCTTCCTTCCTTCCTTCCTTCCTTCCTTCCTTCCTTCCTTCCTATCCTTCTTTCTCTCAACTCAGGCTGCCTTTTAAACTGGAAAATTCCTGTTTTAGCATACTGCCACCACACCTATCTATCTTCTAATTTTAGTATGTTGATGACCCAACATTGTATAGTAAGTCTTATTTCCTCTCCTCACTATCCCAACAAAATGATGACATTATCAGTGTCCCTGACACCTTCCCACACATACTTGAAACCAATCCTACACAAGATCTGAAAAGTTAAGTCTGAAATGCTTGGCTAGGGGTCAATTCCAGGCTTTGAGGTAAGATTTGTTCCAAAGTAGAGAAAGAGCCTGACCCACTATAGATGAACTGGGTAGCAGGACTCATTGCCCTTAATGGTTTTAACTTACAGCAGCTCTCTGGAAATTGAAAAACAAAGATGGACTTCCTCAGTTTTATTCTCCATTCCAAGGTAGAGCACTGAAGAGGTACTCAGTATATTATAAAGAATTTTTTTTTTTTGGGTCCAGTCCTGGGGCCTGAACTCTGGGCCTGAGCACTGTCCCTCAGCTCTTCAGCTCAAGGCTAGCACGCTACCACTTGAGCCACAGTGCCACTTTTGGCTTTTTTTTTTCTGCTTATGTGGTGCTGAGGAATCGAACCCAGGGCCTCAAGCATGCAAGGCAAGCTCTCTACCACTGAGCCACCTTCCCAGCCCTATTATAAAGAATTTTAAGAGCTTTGTATAAAATATACAAAGGACATTTTAAAAACAACACAGAACTAAGAATTTGGGATAACATTTACACATGACTCAAAAGAAATGTACTATTCTTATAATAATAAGCATTTAAGGATAGGTTAAATATATCAAATGATTTTGTATATGTAGACACATGTATTAATTCCTTGCAATCGTAAGTAAAACCAATAGTTCTTATGGACACAAAGATGCTTATTTCAGCTGCTTGTTGAAGCATAAATTAGTTGAATTAAATTATCCTCAAAACATGGAAAAATGAAAAAGAAGGGGGCTAGAGGTGAATTCAATAGTAGAGAGCTCTCCTAGCACACATAAAGCCCTGGGTTTAATCCCTTGCTCCACCACAAAACATTACAAAACCTTACACATTTATGATCACATTCATATACAGAAATATGATATTGTCTACACACATGGCATTACAAATAGCCTAAAGGGTGGTTTATAGATTATCCTGTTGCAAAGAAGTGTTCTGCTTGAAAAGGTGAAGACACAGTAAGTGAAAAACATTCATAGCTGTCCATATATTGATTTGCTTTATGTAATATATATTACATATATAATATATGTAATATATATTACATATATAATATATGTAATATATATTACATATATAATATATGTAATATATATTACATATATAATATATGTAATATATATACATATATATGTATATATATTATATGTATATATTATATACACATAATATATACATATATATGTAATATATGTAATATTTATACAATATATATTACACTATCTATCTATATATATTACATGATATATATTACATTATCTGTCTATATATATTAAATGATATATATTACATTATCTGTCTGTCTGTCTGTCTATATTACAATCAGGTTGCTTGAAGCTATTTGGGGGCTCTAAGCACCTCGACAGTGACCTATGAACACCCATTGCAAAGTGGACCCCAACCCAAACGTTAAGTTGGCATGAAGTCTGATTATGAAACACTTCATTTAAACGACTTTGAACTTCGATTTTGCCCATGAAAAGCTCCTTGGTTATCTCTATGAAGATACACGGTAGTGACTGTAGAAAAAAAGAAAACCTCACATAACTACATATTCAACTTCGTATTTTCCGGCCACCTCTGAGTTATAAACACTTGTGGGTCTGACAATGCTTGGGACTGAGGCTGTGCGGTTACAACCGTGTACTGAAGTCTGGGACGCCCCGACCTTCCCTCCACACGCCATTTTAAACCTTGATTCCAGGCACCCTCCGGAGAGGAACCCTGAGAGTCTGCCTAGGATCTCTAGCCAATCGCTATTCTTCTTCTATCAGCTCTAGCAACGTCAAGCCAATGAAGGAAGGGCTACTTTTTCAGTCGCTACTGTTGACTGGCCAATCGGAAACTTTCTTCAAATGACACTCCCTCCTCCTCTCCGACTTCCTGGTCCCCTCCCACCTTCCTGCCAAGTGCGCAGGCTCGGGAAGCTGGCTTCACTTCCGGGTCGTAGCCCGGGGCGGCCGCGTACGTTGCCATGGAGACCGTTTTACGTTAACTGGTGTGTAGCTTGTTTTTTTTTTCCCACCCTGTGGCCTGGTAACTGCGGTGGGCCGCTCTTCCCCCGTTCTCTCTGGGTTTCCTGCGGCCGGAAGGCCTGTGCAGGCCCGGAGGAGTCTGGCTTAGGGATCGGCATCGCCCCGTAGGGGGCGGAGGGGCGTGATGGCTGCGGAAGAGGAGGACGAAGTGGAGTGGGTGGTGGAGAGCATCGCGGGGTTCCTGAGAGGCCCAGACTGGTCTATCCCCATCCTGGACTTTGTGGAGCAGAAATGTGAAGGTAAAACCCCACCCAACTACCCCCCGCGCCGCCCCAGCCTGAACTGACCCTAACCGTCTCCCAGCTACACGGTCCTCTGTAGTTACACGGAAAGGAATTGAACTCACTGGTGGTCTTCCTGGCAGATCTGAAAATGGAGATTACAGCCCCCCTCCTTCCCAGTGCGTGTTTTACAAACCTTAGTCTTGACTCTTATGTTCCTTCTTTCACCCTAACACACGTCTTTCTGGGCAGGTGGACAGTTTGGGCGAGCTTCTTCAACGCTTTCCCAGTTACTTGACAAGTGTCACTCTGTCTCCCAGTCCCTTCGGATCCCTAGTATTTAAAACAAAACAAAAAAAAGGCCTGTAGAATCAACCTAGGAAAAGAAAAATTCAGCTACACTAACAGTTAACAAGGTTAAGAGGGCATGTGGTTACCTCTGCCCATGATTGTACTACCCCCCCCTCCCCCATGTTGAGCTCTCTTGACTCTTCAATTCTACCAAAAATGGGGAAGGAGCGGCCGCCACCCAACAAATGAAGCATTCACATGCAGCATTATAACTGCTTCTGAGGGATGGACACTGGGGTTTTCTGATCAGCATACTCTTGGAGTTCCGCAGTCAGTCTTCGAGACAAATTGGACCCCTTTCATAGAGAAGAAACTAGAAGCTATTTAGCTGAGCAAGACTTTGAGGGCAATAATAATCCATCGATCATTTGAATGTGCATTATGTTGGAGGGATTAAGATCAGTTGGATAGAGCTGGGGTGGGTGGGTACCAACTGCAGGGAAACAAAATTCTGTGAAAGAAATACTGCCTAGCAATATATCCGCGATGAGTTGGGCTGCCTGAAATGGTAATCAATTCCCCAGGCACTCGTGTTTGATTGGATATGAGAGTCACTTTATGGAGACCTCAAAGAAGAGTCAACTGTTAAATGTTTCCTTCTCCTGAATTATCTTTTAAGACTTCTCTCAGATTCCATGAATCAGGTAAAGATGAGATTTCCTTTGACCACTGAAACTTTTCATTATATTTTTATTGTCATAGTCAAAATTTAAATAGTTGCACTATATGTCCTAGTTTACTACAAGTAATCTTTAAGGAGGTACAAAAACAAAGCAACTTTTAAGGGTTTAAAATGCTATTATGAGACTGATAAAGACGGTGGAATCCTGACCTCATTTAGAAGAAATTATGTCATCCATTGATTCCATTTATGCTACTGAGACAAAATGTTGAATGGAAAAAGAATTATTCATCATTTTATTTTCAGATATCAAAAATGGCTACATCTCAGTCATAACATACCTGAATTGTGTTAATTTACAGAGAAGCAGATCCTCAGCCTTGTAAACATGTCCTATATAGTGATTTTAGAATTAACTGAAAACAGCCTAGTTAGCTGTTTTATTGAATGTGTGCTTAGTGTTACATAGAGTAAATGCAGGATAGAGGTTACAATGCCAAATGACTACTAAACATACATTATATAGGAAAAATAAATGTAGGATATATAAAAGTTACATGCAAAGTGACACTCGAAGTAATTGTTTATACTTCACAACCTGGCTTATTAATGTGTTGTTCTTTATTTCAGATAGTTTAAAGTTTAGTTTTATACAACTTTGTAACATCAACACTTCAATAAACTTAGTGTCTTAGAAGCTGGGGTTGGAAAAATGAATAATGGTATTTTGAGCTTGAGAAGTTTATAGTCTAATGGTGGACAACAATCAGGAAAAAAGAAGAAAATGCAGGTGCTGTAACAAGATAAGTGCATGGTAATAAATAATTAGAAAAGTGAGAGAAGGGATGGGTAAGGCGCGATGGGTGACAATGCTGTCAGACACCTTGTATTCATATACTGTTGTGTAGAATGAGAACTTCTTTGTACAACTACTTAAAGATAATAAAAAATGTTAAAAAACAAATAAAAATAGTATGATTTACGTAAATATGGAAACAGGCTATAAATATATGAAATAGACAATTTTGTTTCTCTGAAAAATAAATAATTAGATCAGAGGAAGGAATATATCAGCCTGGGAATTAGGAGTGGGTAGCAGGTCATGGAGAATGAGCCACTGGACAATGTCTTGAAGAATCTTTAAGGGAAAGGGAGATAAACAATAGAGAAAAAATGAAAACACAGAGGAAAAGTTTGAGTAAAAGATGGAGGGTATTTGGAGGTGTGCCACACAGTTGTTTGTTGTTAAAAGGGCAAGATTCGGAATTTGGAGTAGTGGGAGATGAGATTGTATTTAATCTTGGAGGGTTTTGCCTACTTTCCGAGGATTTTGCACTTCTTCTCTAGGCAGTGAACAGTTGTTGAAGAGTTTTAAACAGAAAATTAAAGAAATGAGTTTGCATTTCAAGAAGATTATTCTTAGAGAATGAAAAAAAGTTTGTTTATAATTATGTCCTTAATTATCCTGTTCTCCTAATTAGGTATTAGCTTCTTGTGGGAGTATCTCCTCAATTTCTGTTGTTTCATACATAAAATCAACTGGTAAACATTTATTTGGGTTGTATTTATTTTTAATTTATCATTGATATATGGCAACAAGAATTACCTAGTCACTTTCAGTAAAATTTGCATCAGCACAGTGGCAGTACAGTAAAAGAATCTGGAGTCTGTTATAAAAGGATTCAGTGTATAATAATGTTACATTAAAAGTTTATGAAAAAATTGTTGCCTTACTTTTTTTTATTTTTGGTTTTGGTTGTGGGGCCTCCTGAACTCTGGGCCTGGGCGCTGTCCCTCAGCTCTTCAGCTCAAGACTAGCACTTTACCACTTGAGCCACAGTGCCATTTCTGGCTTTTTTTTTTTTTTTCTGTTTATGTGGTGCTGAGGAATAGAACTCAGGGCCTCATGCATCCAAGGCAAGTGATCTACCACTGAGCCACCTTCCCAGCCCATTGTTGCCTTACATTATTGATCAAAAAATGGCAAATTGATGGGCCTGAAGAGGCTATGGTGAGAGGGCCACTTGAGCTTAGGAGTCAAGAATAGTCTGAACATCATAATAAAACCTCATCTCAAAGAAAGAAAAAAAGTAGGAAAATAAGAAAGAAGAAAACTGGAAAGTTTGCCCTAGTCTTAAATAGGAGGTAGTTTTTGCTTTAAATTTGCTTTAAATACCTTCTTAAATAGGAGAAAAACTTGTTAGCAGTTAATATTATATACTCAGGTATCAGTGTGTGTGTGTGTGTGTGTGTGTGTGTGTGTGTGTGTGTGTGTGTGTGTGTTAAAAAAGCCTTGGAATTCAAGCTAGATTATCAGACTGTTAATATTTCCATTTATAAGGAGTAGATTTAAAATTTGCATTTAATGAATTGATTTGTTTTTATACTGTAATGTTTTTCTTATTAATATAGTTTTTGATGATGAAGAAGAAAGCAAATTAACCTATACAGAGATTCATCAGGAATACAAAGAACTAGTGAGTATTTTTTTCATTGAGTTTTAGATGTAATTAGGGAAATAATATTGCTGTTCTAAGAGAAAACGATGTATTTTGTTTCATTAAAATTCTTTTAATTTCACAAAATCCATTTAACCCTCACAGTTAGATAGACTGTATGTTCATCTTAATAGACAGGAAATTTCTACTTTTGTATCTAGGGAATAATTTTACCACAATGGTAAGGATCTTGTATTTAATCTTTAAATTTTATTCTCATTTAGCTGATGTCTCCAGTAAAGTGTTAGTTTTCCATAGCTATGTTTGTCTTATTATTCTTAAAAATTTCTGACTACTTGGCACCAGTGGCTCACACCTATAATTCTAGCTACTCAGGAGGTTGAGATCTGAGTAGTGCAGTTTGAAGACAGACTGGGCAGGATAGGAAAGTCCATGAGACTCTTACCTTCAATTAACCACCAAAAAGCTGAAAGTAGAGCTGTAGCTCAAGTTGTAGAGCTCTAGCTTTGAGCACAAAACGTTGACACTGTTCAGAGTTTAAGCTCCAGTGCTGACACACACACACACACACACACACACACACACACACACACACACACACACACACTTACACTTACACTTCCTTGGAGTTTAGAGAATTTTACCACACTAAGGTTCATAATCTTGACTTTTATAATCTCACTGTGATTCTGACTTCATGGTTCTGACTCTTGTAGAAGAAATAAAATCTCATATGATTCTCTGAAAAAAAAAAAAAAAACCCAAACCCTTCTTTTTAGTTTTCTTTTTTGTGACAGTTTTACAGCCATGTAATAAATAATATAATGTACATCAATATTTGTAAAATGGCATTTGATTATACTTTTCCAGAATTAATAGACAAACTGTCACTTAGGCTTTTTTTAATGTAAAGTTTAAATGTTAAACTTTTTCTTTTTAGGTTGAGAAACTGTTAGAAAATTACCTCAAGGAAATTGGAATTAATGAAGATCAGTTTCAAGAAGCATGTACCTCTCCTCTTGCGAAGACACATACATCTCAGGTTTTTGCCTTTGTGTTATTCTGTTTATGTATAATTACATCACAAAAATTACCCTCGTTTCATTTACATTTCTTTTTTTTTTTAATTTAATTTAATTTAATTTTTGAACATACTGTACAGAGGGGTTACAATTACATGGGCAGGATAATGAGTACATTTCTTACCAAGCATTGCAGCCTTCTTCATTTACATTTCTTATATTTGTTTAACTAATATTTTAGACACAGTGAAAGGTGAGAAGATAATTATTACATTTGAATTCTTTTTTTAGAACAACCTAGAGAAATGATAATTTGAGGCATTAGTGAGCAGACAAAATTAAAAATAAACTTTCTGAACTCAGAACTATTATAAGATCACAAGTTTTATCCAGATGACTTTGATTTATGTAGATCTCTGATAATTCTGTAGTTGTTCTTTTTCTAATTTTAAAGGGATTTCTTTTCTTGGAACTCATTGTCTTATTAGTTCTGTTGTACTGGGCTGACATAGATAATATGTATATGAATTTATGTATGTTTATGTATTTATTGAGGCTCAGGCTAGTTGATGTTCTAGATACTTGACATGTATTATCTCATTTAAGCATCTTGACACCTCTTACATATTAGTACTGTTTATCTTTCACCTGTAAATGAGGAAACTAAAGCGTAAAGATACTAAGCACTTAGACATGCACAGCTAATGAGTAGTCCATCTAATATGTAATCTTAGGCAGTATAACTGAGAACAACAGTTGCTCAGAGGTTGAAGATTTGTTGCTGCTAGCCAAGATACCTTCTCAGAAATTCACTTTGATTTCCCATTCTCTACCAAATTAACTGTGTTTATAATTTCTTGCCAAGATGATAGTGAGGATTTTCTTTGGTGTTACCTCATATATTTCCAGACTTGATGTCTAGCTATACTTCTCCAATATATTATATACAGATGTATTCCAGACCACTCAAAAGCATCCATACACCTGGCTTTGTGCATGTTGTCTCTTAACCTAGATGTACCCAATCTACCATCCCTTCCTTTACCTAAGAAAATCTACATCATTGGGGCTCAGTTGAAATGCTACTTCTTACTGCACCTTGCTGCTCCCTGCACTTAGACCAGAACTCATTCTACCTCACCAAGTAATTTTATATCCATATTTTTGTTATTCTGCCTTGAATTATAGTTTCCCACAAGTCTGTTTGTTCTACTAGATTCTTTGAGATATTTTTAGTTCTTTGCATTTGTAATTACTAGTTTAGAGATAGGAACTTACTACTACTACTATTGCTACTATTACTCCTACTACTACCAGTAATTTTAAGATGGGTACTGGTGGCTTATGCCTGTAATCCTAGCTATTCAGGAGGCTGGTATCTGAGGATCATGGTTTGAAACCAGTCAGGGCAGAAAACACCGAGATTGTTAGCTCTAGTTAAGCAGCAAAAAGCCAGTAGAGAGTTAGTACTCAAGTGGTAAAGTGCTATTCTTAAGCAAAGAGGCTCAGGAGGTCTGGCACAGTTTTACTTTCTTAACTTTTTTTTTTGGGTCCGGTCGTGGGGCCTGAACTCTGGATCTGGGCACTGTCCCTCAGCTCTTCAGCTCAAGGCTAGCGCTCTATCATTCAAGGAATTGATAGCTTTTGTGTAGATAGCTTTTGTGTAGATTTGTGGGTATAGAGTTGCTTATAGTATTTCTTCGTTATCTTTTTAATGTTTATTGAATCAGTGATAGTTCCTCTTTCATTTTTTTATTGTGAAACTACTGTACAGAGGGGTTACAATTACATGGGCAAGATAATGAGTATATTTCTTATCAAGCATTGTAGCCTCCTCCTTTGTTTCCCCTTCCCATCCCTTTCCATCCTCCCCCCAACCCCCCCAACCCTCCCCCCCCCCCCACCAAAGTTGTAAAGTTTGTCATTTTTATTTTATTTTTTTTTTTTGGTCTGGTTGTGGGGCCTGAACTCTGGGCCTGGGCGCTGTCCCGCTCTTCAGCTCAAGGCTAGTGCTCTACCACTTGAGCCACAGCGCCACTTCCGGCTTTTTTCTTATTGCTTATGTGGTGCTGAGGAATCGAACCCAGGGCCTCAGGCATGCCACTGAGCCACCTTCCCAGCCCCTGTCATTTTTATTAGTAGTGTAGCTTTGCTTGTTTTCCTTAATCTGGGTGGTGGTTAATCAATATTAACCACCAGCAAGAGAACCAGAACAACTACTTTTATAATAGATATTTTCAATATATAAAATACTTTACTATTTTATTTGATCCCAATACTAAGTGAGAAAATTGTTACTGCATTTCTTCTCTGATGCAAAAATTTGTATGATGATGCATTTAAAATAAGAATGCATTTTGTAATTGTGTTAATATATAATTGGCAGTTTTTTCTGTTTCTTTTTCTTTTCTTTGTATTGGTCTTGGGGCTTGAAATCAGGGCCTGGGCACTGTCTCTGAGCTTTTTTGCTCAAAGCTAGTGCTCTACCTCTTGAGCCACAGAAGTTCCACTTACAGTTTTTTGGTGCTTAATGGGAGGTAAGAGTCTCATGGACTTTCCTGCCCTGGCTGCCTTAGAACCATGATCCCCAGATCTCAGACTTCTGAATAGCTAGGATTACAGACTTAAGCAGGTGCCTGTGGCAGTTTTTTTTTTTTTTTTCCTAGTGACAGTGTTTTATTTAACCTTAGAGTCAATGAAGTACTATATAAATATTGTTGTTACTTTATTATACTAACTTCATAGATGAATAAGGATTAAGTGATGTCCAGGGTTACAGAGCTGCTGGGGTATAGTGAGACTCAAGGCAGGCTTCTGCTACCGTCCTCTTTTCTTCACCAATGTACAAATATTTCTCAAACTTTATTCTTTTAGGAATTACTTGTAGATTTCTGAGCACTCATAATCCAGAGATTAAAATTTCTTATGTCTGAGGAAAAGTCAAGGAATATTCATTTTAAGAAAAATGTTTCTTTCATGCATTTATTAAAAGGGATCAAGGCTTCTAGAACTTAACTATCAGTTCTTAACTATCAGTTCAGTCTCTGCCTGGCTGATAGATGCTGTGGTTGACTTTGCCATTAGTCGCAGTGCCCTTCAAGTGTTAATGATGAGGATAAAGTACTTGGTGTTATTAGTAAGTCTAAGAAGCCTCAGAACATCACATAATTATGGTAGCATAATTCCATAAAAGGGATTCTGACAGACGTTACTAAGCAATCACAGAAACTACCTACAGTTATTTCCCTTTTAGGGAAGATCATCTTCTATCCTGGGGCTTTCTAGACAGTATTTATGAATTAAGAAAAAAGAAACATGTCATTTTCTCTCTTTCCCCCTCTCCCTCCCTCTCTCTCCTTTCTTTTTCCCTCATTCCCCAATCTCTCTCTCTCTCTTTCTCTCCTTTTCCCCTTACCTACCCTTCCTTCCCTCCCGGGTCCTGTGGCTTAAAATCAGTTCCTGGACACTGTGAATTTTTTTTGTTCAAGACTGGTAATCTGTCATTTGAGTCACAGCTCTACTTTGTACTTTTAGGTGGTTAGTTGGAGATAAAAGTCTAATGGACTTTCTAGCCTGGCCTGGCTTTGAACCTTGATCCTCAGATCTTAGCTTCCTGAATAGCTAGGTTTACAGATGAGAGTCATCTGTTCCTCACTTGTTTTTTCTTTTCATAGCTGACTGACTCTCTAGAGGTCTCTGAGAACTGTTTTGCACCTTTTCTATGTTTCTTTATACTAGACACATCTAGAATGTGTTAGTTACAGGAAGAAAGGCATCTTCCTCTTCTGAGTAGATTCCTTGATGAAATTTTTGTTGAGGTAGTCTCCATGACTCTTTGTTACCTCATCATGATTTTGTGTGGCCACTTAATTCAATTGGCCATTTAATTCAATTTGGTAGTCATGTGACAGGTTATAAACCAAATACACATCATTCTGGCTGAAAGACAATCTAGGAAATGAAGTGGTGACTAGAAAAGGAAGCCATAATTCTGAATTTTTTTACAGAGTAATTTAGCACTGGTTCATTTGGAAAATGTTATCTCTGACACCCTTAGTTTCCTAGAGGCATAAGGATTTGGAGTCAGCCTCCTCAGAACCCTATTCAAAGGCTTTCAGAGTTAAATCTTGAACCAAAACTGTGATGGTTCTCACCTTCATCACACACTTGAGAAACCTGAAGGCAGAAGGATTATGAGTTTGAGGACAGCCTGGGCTACATGTAGAGGCCTTGATTCAAAAAGCTTTTTTTCTTTAAATTGTCCATTTGTGTCACTTAGCCATAAATAAGTTGTGACATTCATGAATGCTAGTTTTCAGTGGAAATGATTTGCTTTGATTCTTTCCACAGGCTATTTTGCAGCCCGTATTGGCAGCAGAAGATTTTACTATCTTCAAAGCAATGATGGTCCAGAAAAACATTGAAATGCAGCTGCAAGCCATTCGAATAATTCAAGAGAGAAATGGTAAAATGTTGATGTTAGAAATCTATGTGTTAAATACATTTGTTTGTTTTGTAGGTTTGACTATTCTGATTCTATACATAATTTTTTTTTTTTTGGTCCAGTCATGGGGGCTGAACTCTGGACCTGGGCGCTGTCCCTCAGCTCTTCAGCTCAAGGCTAGTGCTCTACCACTTGAGCCACAGCACCACTTCTGGATTTTTTCTTTTTGCTTATGTGGTGCTGAGGAATCAAACCCAGGGCCTCAGGCATGCAAGACAAGCGCTCTACCACTGAGCCACCTTCCCGGCCCCTATTCTGATTCTAATAAGGCCTTAAATGTAGCTGTCTTGCGTACATTTATTTCAAGTTGTGTTTGGCTGCTATGAGAAATTTTAAGTGCATAAGCTTTCTGATCAGTGAGTATTTGAAAGAAAGCAGCCCAGCATTTGATTTAATGATGTTTTACAATGTAAAGCTTGAAATGTTTCACATTTCAGAGCTTCTGCCCATCCACTGTATTTATGAAAGTTAGTGTTATCGAGTGGTTATAGTTATTACTGAGAGAAGTAACTATCTTATTCTATCCTGTCTTATCATTGTTAAGATCATAGAAAGAGACAGTGGTCCTCAGGCTTTAGAGAACATTGAAATTAGTTGGAAGGCTTGAAACACAAATGGTAATGTTCCTAGTTTCTCATTGAGTATGTCTAGGTTGGGAGCTGATAATTCACTTTTTTTTTTTTGGTGCCAGTCCTGGGTCTTGAACTCATGGCCTGGGCTCTGCCCTCGAGGTTCTTCTGCTCAAGGCTAAAGCTCTACCTCTTGAGTCACAGCTTCACTTCTGGCTTTTTTGATGCTGAGTTGGCTTTGAACCATGACCCTTAATCTCAGTTTCTTGAGTAGCTAAGATTAGAGGCATGAACTACTGGTGCCTGGCTTTCATTTGCATTTTTAACAAGTTTTCAGGTGATACTGAAGCTGCTGGTTTTGGGACCACACTTAGAATCATTACACATTGGGCAGTATTAGGTGGAAGAGAAAACAGAAGGATGATTCTACTGATCCTCTTTAGTTTTATCTTTTGACTATTCCTGGGCTGAAACTCACTCTCTAGTATTCCTGCTTTTGTTTGAACTTTGACATTAAAATTTTAATTAATTACTTGTAACTGTACTTGTCCTTTTAAAACTTGGTTCTCATCTCTTGTTTCCGATTTCTGGCTCTATTGACATCGTCTTAAGTCTTATGTTTTTCCTTTGTTCAATAGGTTGCCTGCCACTATAATCTTTACCATATCTTATCTTAGTTGGGCAGTGGGACCTTATCTGAAAGCTATAGCTTAGTTGCATTAATTGCTTTAAAAAATATATATTTTGGTGGGTACTGAGAATTGAACTCAGGGCTCCACTCTTGCTAGGCAAGCTTTTCTACCACTTGAGACACAGCTTCAGTACTATTTTGTGCTGGTCATTTTTTTTTTTTTTAATTTTTGGTACCGGGAGTCAAACCCAGGATGTTGCATTTGCTAGGCAAGTGCTTTCCCATTGAGATACATTCCAGCCCTTGTACTTAGTCATTTTTGAGGTAAGATCTTGCTTTATGCTTGGACTGGTCTGAGCTGTGATCCTTCTTGTGTTTTCCCACATCACTCAGGATGTCAGACATAAACTACTTTTCCTAACCATTGTGCTTCCCTCAAAATCCATGCATGCCATTGGTTGAGATGGAGTCTGTCCAACTTTTATGATTAATTTGTCCTTTAACCATCATCTCCACCGCCCAAGTAGCTAGAATGACAAGTTTGAGCCACTGTGCCTTGATGTATTACTTGTGTTTAAATGTGTGGAACATGAGATAGAGCTTCTGTTGATTCAGGGTAAATATAGAATGCTGTAGAACTCTTGTTGAGGATTTTCCTTTCTTTTGTCTGATATTAATAGAGATATATATGAGAGCCACCACCCATCATAAAATCTAAAATACTTTCCACAGTAAACAGAATTGTCTGTGTATAGGAGATATTACCACCCTGACCCTGAAAAGTACATAACACAGTGTAATTACTTTGGTTTAAATAAGTTTGGAAGAGCTTAGTTTGTTCTATAAAATTATTTCCTTAGTATTCTTGAGACTATGCTTTATTCTGACCTGTAGGATGAAGAGGATCAGTTTGATAGTGATTAACAGTGGATTCTAGTTTTGCAATTAGAAACTGCACCTTTAATACATTTTAATAAAACAGGAACAAATACCTAAAACCTGTGTAAGCTGTATATTTCAGACTGCCATTAACAGAACATGCCAGCAAGAATGTCCTAAGGAGGTGGAAGTTTTTATCTCACAACAAGAAATCCAGAGGAATAAAGTGAAGAAAGATAGGTAACAGGGTTTATCAGTTCAGTGGCCCGGTGTGAAATATTATCAAGGACCCTGAAGCCAGCTGTGTAAAGATCCCTGCCTCTAATCCTAGCTACTTGGGAGGGAGAGACAGATGAATTTTGCTCAGAGGAAAGCTCAGGTAAAGATAGCTCATTCCTCTAGCTACAAAACGAAGTAAATACAAATGAATTGGGGAGGGGGCAAAAAGGAGAGTAGTTATAATAGCTCAAGTAGTTCTAGTTATCTGGAAAAAAGAAAACAACCATAATGGGCACTTTTCATCTTTATATTCTACCATTCTTAGTATCTTTTCTCATGATTAGACTCTGGCTATGTTCAGTGTAGTCTCAACAGTGTTAGATGGAATAAAGGAATGTTTTCTTCTCTACATTTCTTTTTGTTAGCAAGACAGCACTTCCATGGAAGCCTTCCAGAAGATTTCCTTTCAGGTCCTATTGATCAGAACTGGAGTTAATTGCCTTTCTTAAATCATATGGATAGAGGAATGAGACCATTATTATTGGTTTAAATCCAGAGCCATTCTGCTGAGAAGTGTGGGCCTAGCTTCTTCAATATTGCTGCTTGGTGACTCACACAAACCTGGCTTGTATTTGTCAAGGGAGAGTGGCAAATGATGTAGAATAATTGCTACAATTACCTGTTACACTGTCAAACCACAGTGTGTAACAATTTTCTGCATTTAAGCATGAGCTAATGCTTAAGTTTCTGCTTAAGAATTTTTAATACTTGTATTTAAGATTGTTGCTTAATTTAGGTCAAAGGATAAGTATTGTAGATCAATGACAGTTAAAACAGGCTGTTTGGAAGTTTTTTTTAAATTTCCTGTGCTGATACTATTTTTTCGTTTTGTTTTTTTTTTGCCAGTCCTGGGGTCTGGGTGCTGTCTCTGAGCCTCTTTGTGCTCAAGGCTAGCACTCTACCACTGGAGACACAGTGCCACTTCCAGCTTTTTTGAGTAGTTTATTGGAGATAATAGTCTCCTGGGGACTTCTCTGCCTAGGCTGGCTTTGAACCAGACCTCAGATTTCTGAGTAGCTAGGATTATAAATGTGAGCCACTGGTGCCTGGCTGGTACTGGTTTTGAACTCAGGTCTTCAATAGCTATCATGTTGTATTAGGTGAGTTGCACCTCCACTGTCAGGTTTTTACTGGTTAATTGAAGATAGAGTCTCTTGGATTTGTCTGCCAGGGCTGAATTCGAGCTAGGAGCTTCATCTCTCAGCCTCCTGAGAGGCTAACCAGGATTACAGGTGTAAGCCACTAGAGCCTGGCTGGAAGTTGTCTTTGTGCTATGCTAAGCAAAATTTGAAGGTGCTTTGGATCCTTAATTGTTTTTTGTATCTTATAAAAGAATTTGAGGAAAATGTAAGTTAGAACATTATTTTATATTTTTGAAGTACTTCATGCTGTTGCATCATTCCTCCCTTATTCCTTTCATTTTCCTTAGAAAGATTATCAGGAGAATAATCTAATGAAGTTGCACTTCAGATTGGTGAGCTGCGTTAGATGTCAGTTTCAAGTCATGATATTATACTGTAGTTGTCAGAATGTTACCATGGGGAGAAATTGCATGTGAGTATGCAATTACCTCAAAGTGAAGTGTTTAATATGAAAATGTGCATCTAAGTGTGAAAAGGATTACAGTAATAAAACTGGTTGAGGGTAGATCTATACTCTCATAGTCATATGTGGATCAAGAAATGGAAAGTGAAGCTGAAGCAACCTTATGCAAATGCTATAGAATGTAATTATCATAGATACAAATGGAACACTTACTAGTCTTCCTGCTTATCAGGAAGATAGAAGTAATAAGGTAAATTAGACCAACATTTAAAATTACTTCCTATGAATTTTTATTTGCTTTGGGCCTAAGTTAGAACTATTGTGGTTTATAATTATTAGACCAATATCTGAACAGATGCTCTAAGGATAGAACTTTTATTATTCATCTTTCTGTTTCTCTGATGTGCTTCATACTATGTTTTTATTGCACATAATAATCAGGGCCCCCTTATTAGTAACATTTGTTGTAATGAGAATGAAGAAGAATATTAAGTGCTGTTTTAATGGAATATTATTTTCTTTTGTAAACTCTTTTCCCATTTAAGGATCATCTTATAAGCATGGTTGCTGTTTTTCTTTTTTCTTTTGTTTTTGTGCTGAAACTGTGGCTTGAACTCAGGTCCTCTTATTCTCATTTGGCTTTTTCACTCAAAGCTGGTGTTCTACCACTTAAACCATGTTTCCACTTCTAGCCTTTTCTGGTTAATTTTGCCAGACAGCTTTTACTTTTTGTGGCATTAGAGCTAATACATGTTAGCTAAGTACCCTGCCATTGAACTACTAGCTCCATATTTAATATTTTCAATAGCTAACACCAAGGAAGGTACTGAGATTTCTTTTTTTGTTTTTTTTTTTTTTTTTTTTTTTGAGGTGGGGTGGGGGAGGGCAAAGTGATAAAGGATTTGAATTGAGGGCTTCCATACTTGGCTGATACTTAACCACTGGAGCCATGCCTCCAGCCTGGAATTCTGCTGGTTATTTTGGAGACAGAGTCTCATGGATTTTTAAAAAATTTTTATTTTTTCCCTGTTCTTGGGCTTGAACTCAGGGCCTGGGCACTGTCCCTTGTTTTGCTCAAGGCTAGTACTCTACCACTTGAGCCACAGCACCACTTCTGGCTTTTTCTCTTATGTGGTACTGAGGAATTGAACCCAGGGCTTCAGGTATGCTGGGCCAAGCACTCTACCACTGAGCCACATTCTGGGCCCCTCATGGATTTTTTTATGTCACTGGCTTTAAACCATGATACTCCAGATCTAAGATTCCTGAATAGGTAGGAGCCACTGCTATCTGGCCTGAGAGATATTTCTATGAAAAATCATGGTTAATTTGGTGGGGCTTACACCCTTACATGAAAGTTACACAAAGCAGACAATAGTTAAAGTGAGAAGAACTTAGATTTTTTAAAGTGATAAATTGTAAATGAATTTGTACTTATTGAACTCGAACAATGAGAGAAAAGTGTTTTCAGTTGAGTTGATACCCTTTCATGGTGTTTGGTTTTGAACAGGTGTACTACCTGACTGCTTAACTGATGGGTCTGATGTGGTCAGTGACCTTGAACAAGAAGAGATGAAAATCCTGAGAGAAGTTCTTAGGTACTTTGATTATTTCTCAATGAATAACTAGTAGTATAATATGATATGTACATATATGCTTTTTAACAAGAAAGTATTGTGAACCAGTAAAATATCTAGATTCGGTACTGAAGACTGTTGATATATTTTATCACTTATAACATGTACAGATAGCTCTTACTCAAAATACTTAGAAACAGAAGTGTTTCAGATTTTGAAGTTTTTCTTCTTTTTGCTTTTTTTAGATTTTAAAACATTTGCATGGCTCTTATTATGGAATATTCATCCTTAATTGGAAGTCTAAAATCCAAAACCTTCCAGAGACTGAAACTTTTTGAACATCATACTGGCATGCAAAGATTTTTGCATACTTGAGCATTTTGGATATTTAGATTGGGGTTGCTTAACATGTTTTTTGGGAATGGTTTGAACTTGGGTGTGTGCTTGCTAGGCAGGCACTCTGCCACTTAGAGCCATGCCTCTAGTCCTTTTTGCTTTTAGGTTTTATTATTTTTGGTGGTTTATAAAGGGCTTATCAAGTCAAGGCCTCACACTTGCTAGGTTGCCATGATACCACTGAGCCAAGCCTCCAGACATCTTTTTCACTTTTTTTTTTTTTTTTAATCTGGTCCTGGGCTGGAACATTAGCGCTTGGGTGCTGTCCCTAATCTTTTTGTTGTTGTTGTTGTTGTTGTTTGTGGGGCTTGAACTCAGTATCTGGACGTTGTCCCTGAGCTCTTTTGCTCAAGGCTAGCACTCTACCACTGTGAATCACAGTGCCATTTCCGGTTCTTTCGGGTTTATGGGAGATAAGAGTCTCAGGGACTTTCCTGCTCACGCTGGCTTTGAACTGTGATCCTCAGATCTTAGCCTCCTGAGTAACTAGGAATATACACATGAACTACAAGCACCTGGTAGCACTTGACGCTTGTGAGAATATTCTAGGTTTAGGGAGAAAAGATAGTTGCCTTCATTTATGTCACCTGCAGAGTGGACATGATGGTAGTTAAAAGGATGGGCCTCGTTGGAAACTATGACAGGAGTCCCAGGACCTAGTGCTTAATTTCATGGGCTTTCAGTTACTGTGGGTAGGGGAGCCAGTAAATCTAGCCCTTTTCTGCCAGATCCTACCTTTTTTGGCAGGGAAACATGTTCTCAGGACACCAAACAGGTTGCTTGAATTCATAAGTTCACAAAGGTATGAATATTTGGTTTAAGATGGGCAGTGGTGGCTCACTGGATAAGCCTCTATTTTATGTTACTAGTTCTGCAGTACTTTGCCTGTGCTTCTACTGTTTGTAAGCCACTTTAGAGTAAAACATGGCTATTTTCAATTATGTATAAAACATCTTGCTCATAATGTAATCTCAAGTTACCATATTTCTTGGTTAAATATTTATCTTTTGACCAAATAAGAAAATTTACTTTTCTAACTTATTTTTGTATCTTTCAGAAAATCAAAAGAGGAATATGACCAAGAAGAAGAGAAAAAGAGAACAAAACAGGTACCTTTAGAACATATAAATAAAACAGGCATATTTCATTGTTAATCTTATTGTTTATAATCTACCTTCTCTTTGCTATTAACATGTAAACTTATGTGAGCCTCATAGTGTTATATGTTCTGGTCAAGTCTAGGCATTTATATTCGTATTTTATCTCTTTTTTGTAGAGAAAGTATATACTTTCTTACAAGAGAGTATACGTTAAGCATTGTTCTTTTTGGCAGGCATGGAACTTGAACTCAGGGCCTGAAGGCTGGCCCTGAGCTCTTTTGTGCATGGCTAGTGCTGTACCACTTTAAACCACAGCCCCACTTCTTGTTTTCTGGTTGGTAATTGGAGATAAGAGTCTCACCGACTTTCCTGCCTGGGCTTTGTACTGCAATTCTTAGATCTTAGCCTCCTTGAGTAGCCAGGATTACAGGCATGAGACAGGCAGCATCTGACTTAAACATTCTTAAAAAGAAAGTAATTCGTGCTGTGGATGTAGATCAGTAGTAAATAGTATATGGCCAATCATGTATGTAGTATGTATGAAGCCCTGAGTTCAATCTCTAGCACTAAAATAACAGCAGCCAACACCATCCCCTGCCACCATTCCCCTCACAAAAAAATCCTCAAAACAAATGCTAAAAAACCCCAAACTAGCAAACAAAATCCCCCAGCAGTTACTGTTTATGACTTCCTAGTTCATCAGGCATCCTATTTTTTAAGTTCCATGATAAAAACCAAGACCATCAATCCCAAAAGGTATAAATAATATGTCATATTTTGAGGAGTTCCTTATGGAAATCCTCCTATGTTCTATTCGGTATAAAAGAAGATTAAGAAAAACATTTACTTTTCCATTCTCCTTGACCTCTTTATTATTCTAACAGAGCACAGTAGCTATTTCTAAAGGCTCCTTGAAGGCTTTAACATTGTCAACTAAATTCAGCATCACATTGTCTGGTATACAGTTCTATAGAGAACCATTTCTGGGGCTGGGAAGGTGGCTCAGTGGTAGAGCGCTTGCCTTGCATGCATGAGGCCCTGGGTTTGATTCCTAAGCATCACATAAGCAAAAAAGAAAAAAGCTGGAAGTGGGCTGTGGCTCAAGTGGTAGAGTGCTAGCCTTGAGCCTTGAGCTGAGGGACAGTGCCCAGGCCCAGAGTTCAGGCCCCATGACTGGACCCCCCCCCCCCCCCCCAAAAAAAAAAAAAAAAAAAAAAAAAAGAACCATTTCTGTGAATTTGTCTTTCCCAAGGGTAAATTAAACATGGATCTGGTAGAGGTAAGGGAAGCTAGCATTTGTCTTTTCCTGTCCTCTTTTCTGGCTGCTCCTCTTGCTGTGTTTTCCTATCTCCCTGGAGGGCAAAGGAAACCTAATGTCAACTCTCTGTCCAGGACTTCAAGGTCATTTCCTTTTTTACTCATATTGTCCTGACATATCCTTGTATTATGTATTCTCTTGGCAAAACCAAATGAAGAGCAGAAGAGATGTTTTAGGGTTAAGAACTGTTTTCTGTTTGGGTGAATATCTTTAGTAATTGAGGTGTGAAGTTCTTAGGTATTAATGAAGCTTTTTAAACATAAAAGGTGTAGAGTAGAAACTTGCTCAAAATTATTATGAAAAGACAGTAGTTTTAACCTTCTGATTTATAGGGAGACCATAGTAAGCTTTTTTGAATACTACATTTTAGAGATGATTTTTTTTTTCTGGAAGAAACTTTTTCTAGATCTTTTATTATGGAAATATTAAACTTACAAAAGTAAAGATGGTAATAATAAGCCAATGTATCTGTTACTTGGCCTATAGAGCCTGATGATTTAGATACCATGAATTATCTAATCTATATATGATAAGATTTTCTTCCTTTTTTTAAGGAAATATGAAATAGCATTAGTTTATTTTCCTCTAGGACTAATGATTTTGTTGTTCATTTTAGGAATGGAAATAAAACAACTTGTGGCTATTTTAGAGATTTCAAATCAATGTCATATATTTTAAGTGAAAAGTACTATAACTCAGTAATTTTCTGTCTTTTAATAGTATCTTTTGTTGTCTTGAAGAACAGGGGTGAAGCCTGGGTTTGGATCTGTTCTTTCTGAGTTCTAAAGCCTAACCGTACTAGATACCATTAACAGTGTATGATTTGAAATGAAATGTTTACATACCTAAAAACCTATGAGCTAGAAAATACTAGTAACATCTTAAGAGTTTAGGGAAAATAAAATCTTTTGTTCATTAGTCAGTTTTTTTGGGGGGAGGGGTGGTCCTGGTGTTTGAACTCAGGGACTGGGTGCTGTCTTGAGTTTTTTTGCTCAAGGCTAGTGCTTTACCCCTTGAATGACAGCTCCCTCTTCTTGTTTCTTTGGTAGTTAATTGCAGAAAGCAGTCTCATGGACTTTCCTGTCTGAGATGGCTTTGAAACTGTGATCCTCAGATCTCAGTCTCTTGTGTAGCTAGGATTACAGGTGTGAACCACTGGCACTTGGCCTAGTAAGAATTTTTTTTTTCCTAGTCAGAATTTCTTAATAACACCTTTGGTTTTTAAAGGTAGTGAGTTAGTCAAAATTATTTTGTATATTGTTATCGTTTTTCTTATGACATCTTGAAGTTATTCGATACTCAAACAGAAGACCCCTCAGTGCATACTGGTGAGACTGCAAAGGCGAGTAATTCCCAAGGAAGGGGCAGACATTCTTCACCCTCACCCCCAGGTAAGCTTATTGAAGTACACTGGCTTCCTCTACTCATAACTGCCTTACCTCACACCTGTTTTTAGAAAAGGACATTTAAAACCACAGAAATCCCAGAATAAAATGAACTTCATTCACAATCATGATTCAATTTTAGTGTCAGCACTGTTTCATTTCTTAAGCATTATAAAAATTTGGTAAAGGGATGGGGCATGGTAGCTCACACCCATATTCTAGCTACTTGGGAGGCAAAAAGTTATCAAGACCCTATCTCAACAAGCCCGTATGGCAGCGTAAACTATAGTCACATTATATATAATCCATTTGATATACAGATATACATATTGTATATACAATATATATATTAAATGTAATAAAAATATACAATTATATTTTATATACATATATGTGTGTGTATGTATGTATGTATATAAAAATCCCTATACAAAGGAAACATAGGGGTCACATTTCTGTGTCAGACTAGGCAAAAAACAAGATCACCAAAATGCAAAAAGGGCTGGAGGCATAGCAGAGCATTTAAATGCTAGCACTTGAGAGACAGAGGCAGAAATCATAAGGAGGCTAGCCTCCTATCATCAGTGAGATGCCCTACCTTACACCTCTAATCCTAGATATGGGGGAGGTAAAGATCAGGAGGATCATGATTCAAGGCCAGTCCAGGCATAATGTTCATGAGATTCCATCTACATGGGTTGAGATACACATATCTCAAGTTAGGTACAATAGTGAATGCCTGTCATTTCATCAATACTTAAGAGAATCATGGTCCAGGCAACATCTTTTTTGAAAGAATAATGAAAGCCAGCTGGGTGCTAGTGGCTCATGCATCCTGTAATCCTAGCTACTCAGAGGCTGAGATCTGAAGCACATGGTTTGAAGCAGGAAAGGCCTGGGTAGGAAAGCCTATGAGACTCTTATCTCCAATTAACCACCAGAAAACCAGAAGCAGAGCTGTGGTTTAAAGTGGCAGAACATTAACCTTGAGCAAAAAAGCTTAGGGACAGTACCCAGGCTGTGAGAAGAATGAAAGCCAACAGGTTGGGTATGTGGCTCCTGTGTTAGAAGGCAAGGCTTTGAGTTCAAAACACACACCCAAAAGACTAAAACAAAGACACACACACACACACCCCAAAACACACACACACACACACACACACACACACACACACACCCAAAAGACTAAAACAAAGACACCCCCCCCAAAAGACTAAAAGACACACACACACACCCAAAAACTAAAACAGACACACACACACACACACACACACACACACACACACACACACACACACACACACACACACACACACACACACACCCAAAAGACTAAAACAAAGACCCCCCCCAAAAGACTAAAAGACAAACACACACACACATCCAAAAAACTAAAAGACACACACACACACACCCAAAGGCTTTGAGTTCAAAACACACACACAAAAGACTAAAACAAAGACACACACACACACACACACACACACACACCCAAAAGACTAAAACAAAGACACACACACCCTCAAAAGACTAAAAGACAAACACACATGCACACACCCAAAAAACTAAAACAAAGACACACACACACACATACACACCCAAAGGCTTTGAGTTCAAAACACACACACACACCCAAAACACACACACACACCCCAAAGACACACACACACACACCCAAAGGCTTTGAGTTCAACACACACACACACACACACCAAAAGACTAAAACAATGACACACACACACACCCCAAAAGACTAAAACAAAGACTAAAATTAGAGAATTTTAGAAGTAGAGATTTACCTTATACTGAACAAGTTCATCCACTAACATTTCCTGTGAAGATTTTCATCAATTTTATAAAAACGAAATTTCTTTTTTTTTTTTGGGGTCCGGTCGTGGGGCCTGAACTCTGGGCCTGGGCGCTGTCCCTCAGCTCTTCAGCTCAAGGCTAGCGCTCTACCACTTGAGCCACAGCGCCACTTACGGCTTTTTTCTTTTTGCTTATGTGGTGCTGAGGAATCGAACCCAGGGCCTCAGGCATGCAAGGCAAGCGCTCTACCACTGAGCCACCTTCCCAGTCCTGTTCTTCCTTTTTCTAGCCATATTTTAATTCACTGGGAAAATAATTTAATATTGTATTTCCAAGTTCAGCAACACCATAAAATTGTGAGCAAGAGAAAGAATACCGAATGCTGTGTGAACACATCATGCATGCTATAGCTATGACCCAACAGGTGCCTCCAAGAGCTCTGCTCACTGCTTAACATGTAGACTTCATGTAAAATTATGGGGAGCTGAGATGTAGCTCAGGAATAGAGCACTTGCCTAGCATGTGTGAGGTCCTGGGCTCAATCTCAGCACTGTGGAATAAAAGGCAGCCTGGATTGTGAAACCCTGTCACAGGAAAAGTGATGATAACACTCTCTTCAACTAAAGCTCTTTCATAGACACTGCCAAGATTTCTGAAGGTTGAATATATTTGGGAGTAAGTCATACCCTACATGTTTATGTAGACTATTATTAGAGGTATGTGCTCTACCAGAGTCTCACCCCCAGTTCCCTTTAAACAATTTTTAAAATTAAGCCGGGCGCTGGTGGCTCATGCCTGTAATCCTAGCTACTTAGGAGGTTGAGATCTGAGGATCACAGTTCAAAGTCAGCCTGGGCAGAAAAGTTCATGAGACTCTTATTGCCAACAAACCACCAGAAAACCAGAAGTGGCACTGTGGCTCAAGTGGTAGAGTGTTCGCCTTGAGCTGAAGAGCTCAGGGACAGCGCCCAGGCCCAGAGGTTCAAGCCCCATGACCTGACAAAAGTAAATAAATAAAATTATCTTTAAATAGTCATACAAAGGCATTTCAACTCAGTGTGTCAGTTTATGAGAACAATGAATCTTGATTAGTGTCACCTGTCCCATTGTTCTTCCTCATCTTCCAGTCTTTTTTGTACTGGTTATTTTGAGATAGGGTCTTTCTTTTTGCCTAGCCTGTGCCTGGACTTCAGTCTTCTATTTTATTTAATCATTGTAGCTAGGACAACAGGCATATACCACCATGCCCACTTGTTTCTATTGAGATGAGGCGTTATGCCTGGGCTGATTTCATTTTACCGTCTGAGTAGCTGGGATTCCAGGGATGAACCACTGTATTTGGTTATTTGTGTGTATGTTGGTTGTGGGGCTTGAACTCTGGGCCTGGGCGCTGCCCTCAGCTCTTCAGCTCAAAGCTAGCGCTCTACAGCTTGAGCCACAGCGCCACTTCCAGTTTTCTGGTAGTTTATTGAGATAAGAGTCTCACAGCCTTTCCTGCCTGGGTTGGCTTTGAACTTTGATCCTCAGATCTAGCCTCCTGAGTAGCTAGGACTACAGGCGGGAGCCACCAGGGCCCGGCTGTGTGGGTTTTGAAAAACAAGAAATCCAAGGAAGCTGAATGATTTGTTCAAGGTCACTGAATCTGTAAATGGTAAAATGTGACTTATTTTGGCCTTCTGACTCCAGATCTATGTTCTTCCACACCCAGAAGAAATTTCTGCTAGGTGTGGAGAGGTACATCTTTATTCCTAGCACTTGGGAGGCTGAGGCAGGATTGGGCGTTTGAATCCAGCCTAGGCTATATAGTGAATTCTAGCCCAGTCTGGGCTACATAGCCAGACCTGGTTGAAAAACAAACCATACCAAACCCAAGCAAACAAAAGGAATTTTTACAATTCATGACTTTCCTTCCTTCCTTCCTTCTTCCTCTTTTCCTTCCTTTCTCTTTTTCTTTCTTTCTTTCCTCCTTTCTTCCTTCCTTCCTTTCTTCCTTCCTTTTTCTTCCTTCCTTTCTCCTTTCTTTCTTCCTTCCTTTCTTTCTTTCCTTTCTCTTTCTTTCTTTCCTCCTTTCTTCCTTCCTTTCTCCTTCTCTTTCTCCCTTCCTTCCTTCCTTTCCTTTCTCTCTCTCTCTTTCTTTCCTTTCTTGTTGTGAGGCTTGACGTCAGGGCATGGGCGCTGTCCCTGAGCTCTCTGTTCAAGGCTAGGACTCTACTCCTTGAGCCCCACTTGCATTTCTGGCTTTTTTTTTTTTGGTGATTATTTAGAAGAGTCTCATGGACGTTTCTGCTTGGGCTGGCTTTGAACTGCGATCCTTAGATCTCAGCCTCCTGATTAGATATACATCAGTGCTTTTTTTCTTTATTTTTTTGCATGTTTTTTTATTGTAAAAATGCTGTACAGGTTTTTTTCTTTTTAAATAAGGAAACCATTTAGTATTTTTAATATACTTTAGTTTTTAGAGCTTTGAGTTCACAACAAAATTGAGCAGAAGGTGCTCTTACCTCCTACCAAGTTTTCTTTCCTGTTTTGGCGTATTGGCATGATCATTAATCCTTTGGACATGTATACCATGTTCTTCCCATCCTGCTTTTAATTCGTTGTATCATTTGAATGTCTTTGGTTCAGTTTTCTTTCATTGCCCTTGTACTTAAGGTGAAAATGTTAAATCTTCTAATCTTATAATAAAAAAAAATAGCTCAGAAGAGCAATTAGAAGTTAATCATGTCTCCGTGTAATCACCAGTTACTGGAAAGACTTGAGTGCTTATGTTATATGTGCTTTTAGGTTCTGTCAGAGATCTTTATATTTTCTTATCTGTTGAAAGTTAACAAAAGAGTAGAGGAGAGGAGCTGGGATGCATGTTACCTCAGGAAGCTGAGATTTGGAAGATTATGGTTCAGTCTCGGCAGAAATGTCTTAAAAATAACTGGCAAATTAACTAGTCTTTTCATGAGGCCCTGAGTTCAAGTCCCATACAGACAAAAATAAATATTACAAAGGGAAGAGGAGGCTAAGAGAATAATAGAGAGTGTGAATTAGATCAAAATATATATAGGTATGGAAATCTTAGTGTAGTTAAGATGATAAAAAAAATGCAAGCTCTTTCCACTTAAAAATAATCTTGCTAGCCTTGTGTACAGAGAAGCTCAGAGACAGCTCCCAGGCCCCCAGTTCAAGCCACAGGACTGACAAGAAAAAATTAAAAACCAAAAAAACATTTTCTCAGTGTATTGGTAGGTTTATGGTTATCTTCAATATGAATTGCAAACAAAAATCATTTACTGCTACAAAACAAAAATGCAGCTTTAGAGATTTTGCAGTCTCTTATTTTTTACCTGCGAGGAAAAGTATGGATTATTAATAAATAATAGTGTACTGCTTATTTGGATTGTGTAGCAGCCTTGTTTTATATCACAGTGTAGTTTTAATCTGTAAACAGGGTTACATATTTTGTAATGATAGTACAGTGCAAACAGCAGGAGCTTGGTATTTGCTGAAATGTCACTATTCATAACATGAAAAACTATAGCCCTTACAACAGACTGCTTGTTCTTTCCCAGTGGCTGGTGTAGTGTAGGTCCTGAATATGTATTGATTCATTGAGGGAAAATACTAATGTAAGATCATTTTGAGCCTGCCTTAATTCTTCTTATATTGTCCTAATTGGTCTCATTATCTTATTACTGCCAGAAGTGAATTTTGCTAATCAGTCAGCACAATCCTTGGCAAGAAAGATGGAACCATTTTCTGACACTTCCTCCCTCACACAAAGAGGCCTGAAGATTCCTGGTTTAGAACATGGTGGCATTGAAGGACCAATAGCAGTAAGTCAAAGTCACTACTTTCAAGAACTATGACAGGTGTTGGAAAGTAGCAATGTAAACAGCCATAGACTTGGTTTTTGTTAAGATCCTGAACTCACATTTTTATTTTTTGAGATAAGTCTTTTTGTGTATCTCAGGCTGGCTTTGATCTCAAGGTTCTTCTTTTCCTCAGCCTCCAGAGTGCCAAGATTACATATGCACCATTCATGCCTAGCTTGAACTGAAACTTAAATTGAACTTAATTGAGGCAGCAATCAAGGAACTAAGTGTCTTTGCCACTTCTTATGTGAACATGAATTTACCTAGTTCCTTCACTTATTTGACGTAGAGTCTGTCAGCACTTGGAGCAGAAGAGCTGCGGCAACGAGAACACTATCTCAAGCAAAAGAGAGATAAACTGCTTTCTATGAGAAAGGATTTAAGGAGTAAGCAGATCCAGAATGTGGAGCAGAAAGGAAAACCTACTGGTGAGGTAGAGGTATGGCTAGCTCTAATCTACCACACTTTGTACATCTAAAAGTAGAATTCTCCAAATCCATGTATGTGCAAGATACATTAATATTAACCACTCTGCTAGTCTAACAGCAGCTAAGTGTTTTCTAAGAGCTGTAGGAGGTACAACAATAGCAGTTTCATTATAAACACTTTCTCTACTTCCTTTGCTGAGTTAAGGATGATTAGTGGTCTGTCTCACTTGATCTAAAAGATTTGAAATGTACCCCATCCACCACCTCCACAAAGGCTTTCCCAGAGAGGTTTTACAGGTTTAAGGAACCTATATCTGACTATAGTTAGGGGAGCTATATCTAGCTTCCTCCACGCACCCTAAAAATGTCCTTAAAATCTTTGTTCTGAGCAGTGTGTGTACAGAATTCCAGATTCATAGATTCACTGTTTACTGTAGTCAATTTTTTTTCTTTTTCTTTTTTAAGGAAATGACAGAGAAGCCAGAAATGACAGCAGAGGAGAAGCAGACATTACTAAGGAGGCGATTGCTTGCAGAGAAACTTAAAGAAGAAGTTATTAATAAGTAATAATTAAATAGCAAAACACAAGTCCAAATTTTCTTAAAAATAAATTATTTAATCCAAAAACTATTAGTTTGAAGTAAATACTTCTGTAAATGCAAGTAAGTACATTATTTTAAATATTTGCCATAGAAAGGCAATAGGGAAGGCAGTTAAGTGTTATTTAATACAAATTTTGAGATGTTTTATAAAGAGAGTATAGAAGGAGACTAGTTGATGTACACTATTCTTATTTGACACTTATGTCAAGCATTATATACTATGCATTAAGATTGTAGTTATAGATTGACTGGGTCCCTGGTTTCATGAGGCTACTAAAAAAGGTCCCAAAGGTAAGAAAAGGAACATGGTAAAAAGCTGGCTAAACCTCCTTCAGTTCATGTTTTAAGCCGATTGGAAGAGTACATGGACAACAGGCAAGTTTATAACTTAGGTCCAGAAGCAGGAGATTTGACCTGCAGTTATATGAGTGTAGAGGGTTAGTATATGAAGAGGTAGGTGAGATCCTGTAGAACTTTGTGCAAAATTTATTCATTTAAAAATTTGCAATATGGATGATAGTGATTACAGAAAATTCTTTTCATTTTTAATGATGTGTGCTTGCCATATGGATACTAGTGGGAGAACCAAAATAGTCGAGTTTGTTGAGCATGAGGCAATTCAGTCAGAAGAGTAGGTGTCCCTGGGGAGTGGTAAAGCGGAGTCATTTCCTGTTCAGTCAGGAGTGGGGAAATGGAGGTGGTGAGTGTTAAAAATATCCAGTCTTCCTATAAAACTTATTCTGAAAACAAAAAACTACTAAACTTGTTGAGGGAAATGCTAACTAGTGGGCATAGATCTTAAGTCCTTATTTTTTTTCTAGTTAACCAAATCTTTCTTCAAAAACTTGTATGTTGTAACATCTCGTATCCATGCTAAATTTATAATTCATAAATCTACAATTAAAAACTTAAAAGACACCAGCCCAGCTTAACAATCTGCAAATTTTAGCTACAGTTCCACCGACCTGCAAAACCCCGTTTTCTGTATTTGTTACAGTTTCATCATTATGCAGTCATTAAACTGGGCTCTGGGGCTCATGGCTGTAATCCTAGCTATTCAGAAGGCTGATTTCTCTGAAACTAGGGGCAGGAAGGTTCATGAGACTCCAATCTCCCAATTTAGCCAACAAAAAGCTGGAAGTAGAGCTGTGGCTTATGTGGTAGAACACTAACTTTGAGCAAAAAAAAAAAAGCTCCAGGACACACACACACACACACACGATTAAAATATATTCAGGACACACACACACACACACACACACACACACACACACACGATTAAAATATATTCAGGACACACATACACACCCCAAAAATGTAGTGATTAAAATATATTTCACCAAAGATTTTATTAAAAATAACATATCAGGTACTTATATGTAGATATTTTAAAGCTATTTAATGAGTTCTGGCTTAATTCACTGAGAAAAGCCTACAGATACATACACCTTACTGCAATCTATTTTGAACTAATATCTATTGGTGATGAGGATTAAGTTCTTTCTGCATGTGAACATCAAAGTTTTCCAGCACCAGGTCCTCTGTTATCTTGGTACCTTTGTTCAAATATCAGTTAACCATAAGGATTTCTGGATTCTCAATTCTGATCTGTTGATCTTTATGTCTATACTTATGTTACACTGTATTGTATAGCTTTATAATAAATCTGATAAACACCTTTTATTTGCTCAGGGATGGTCACTTAAGACAGCAGCTAACTTAGAATGCTATTTCAAAGTGTATTTTGTTCTGTAAGCACATGAGTGATCATGACTTGTCATGCTGTATTTTAAGGAAACCTTTATTTCTACCTTAAGATTTTTATGGTGATTACTTAGAAGCTTTAAGATTTATGACAGTTCTTCAGAGAACCCTTTCATAAGGTAGAGAGGTAATTACTTCGTACTGGAACTTCCTGAATGAAGCTAAGAAATGCTGGGCACAGATGGCTCAAGCCTACAATTCTAACAACTCAGGAGGTTGAGATCTGAGGATCATGGTTTGAAGCTAGCCCAGGCAGTAAAGTCTGTGATACTCTTTATTTCTAATAAACTACTCAAAATAAGCCAGAATTTGCTCAAGTGGTAGAGTGCTAGCTTTGAGCAAAAAATGCTCAGGAACAGTATGCTCAGGCCTTGAGGTTAGGCCCTAGGACCAGTGGCCTTCCTTTCCCACTCCCAAAAAAAGCGTTGAAGTGTTTTAGGACTGGCCTACTTACTTTAGAAGACCCCAAAACCTTCCAAAGTGTATTCATAATAGAAACTATCGATGTAGGTTACAAATTTATGGCCTACTTGTGTTATGAGGTGGTGACTTTTTTATTGGCCTTTAAAGGTAATATAAAATGGACATATCTCAAAATGGAAATGAACATATTTACAACAAACCAAACACAAGCATCAATCATGGAATTACAGGGTCACATTTTAATTCCTGAATTTTACAGTTCAGCATTAATATCACCACATGTATACAAATGGTGTAAAACAAGTACAGTGGTATTTTTAATACAAAATAAACATCTGTTTTATGGAAAAAACTATACTTCATATCTACACAGACAGCCCATCTTTTCCAAACAATAGCCAAAATTAAAATTAACTACAAAATTTCCAAACAGGGGAAACTGCTTCAGTTTAAGCTACTCTGGGAAAATGGACCCATAACACATTACAAAAGGTGATCTAAAGACTAGCTGGAATTACTATTTTTTAGTTTTTGTTTTTTTTTTCCCAATGCGTCTTGTTAAATTGTAGTTTGGGGACATTTTCTTCATCTCAGCATGATCTCAGATCATAGATGAGCAAACTAACATTAAAATATTTACAGTTAACTTGCTGTTCTAAAAATAAAACCTCTTAACTGTTTGCCTCAATTTATTATTTTAAATTCCTTCACGTACATGGAATGTGCTTTTACTCTTAAAAAAAGCAGCTTTCATATTACACCCTTTTTGTATCTGAACAAGCTTCATGTGCTGCATGTGATTATGATATCTAAGTAACTATGGATCAAAATGGCCTCTAGATGTTAAATGCCATTTGATTCAGCACTATTCTTTATTAGTCTTGATACTTTAAAACTTGCCTGAAGCTCTCAAGAGAGATACAACTTTACTGACAGAACAGAAAGTGTCTTTACCTTCCACAAAAGATTGTACTGGTAAGTGGATGGAAACATCCTCTTCTACCCCATTCAGGTTTTCAGAGGATCATTTGGAATACTACTGAACTGTTTCATGACTGTGGTTATCCCCTAAAAGTGCTGATTTTAAAATAATACTAGCTCATTCATTTTGAATCCCGCTTGATTTAGTCAAAATACGTAGTGACATTCCTGACATAGCGAACTCAACATGTACTGTTATATGTATAGGGTGTACTTCCCTCCAAGTATCCGAAAGGCTGAATTTCTGTGAAATCTTCAAGGAAATGGTCCCAATAACTTGATTTCACTTCTTATATTATGACAGTTCAATGTTTTCCATTAAAAATTCCTTTTAAAAAGAGGCAACTGATTAAAACACCATGCCAGCACCATTATATATAAGTAATGTTATTGGATTTGCAACTGAAGCTTTAGATTTTTTTTTCCTGTTTTGGTTAACCCCTTGGAACAACCCTGCATTAATATTATTTTATCAACTTTTCCCTCCCCGAAACCGTCCCAAAACCTGAGACTTTCCTTGTTGAGAAGCAATCCCCCAGGTTTGGTTAACTAACCATTATTATTTTTTGACAGCCTGAAAGTTAAACCCCTTAATTACTAGCAAGCAATTAAGTTCCTGGGAAGCCTGGTATGTTTTCTTATACAACTAAACCCTCCTAGGTGATACACTGTGTGTCTGCTATTCCTTGTATATATTTATAGGTTCAAGTGAGAAAGCTTTCTGATTGAGATTTTCAGCTCATTGAACAGTTGCAGCATTTTAGTAAGACCACATGCTGGGGGTCCCCAGCAAATATTTTATGAACCAAGGCGAGGTCTTTTCCTGGGGGATGTTTCTTCTTCTTCATCTTCCTCTTCATCATCTGGATAATCCACTAAGCCAACCAAACTCCCCTATTCAAGAATGAAAAAATTGTCTGTAACATTCATAACGTAGAAAATCCTAGCTCATCATAAAACAGCTCATTAGAAGGATATAGAGGCTGTTTTACTAAGTCACATATATCTCAACATAAAAGGAACTACTTGAATTATGAACGTGTACACTAATTGGTGGCACTGGGCACCCAATTTTTCTACTGCTTCTTGAATTTTTATAAATGAAATTTCAGAACTCAATTCAGCAAAATTTCACTATAAACTGGGTGGAAGTGGCTCTTGCCTATAATCCTAGCTACTAGGAGGCTGAGATCTGAGAATTGTAATTTGAAGGTAGCTGGGGCAGACAAATAACTGGAGACTTTTTTTTTGTCGGTCATGCGGCTTGAACTCTGAATTCTGAGTCCCTAAACTCTTCAGTTCAAAGCTAATGCTCTGTCACTTGGAGCCACAGCACCACTTCTGGTTTTCTGGTGGTTAATTGGAGAGAAGAGTCTCATGGGCTTTCCTGCATGGGCTGGCTTTGAATGGCAATCCTCAGATCTTAGGTTCCTGAGTAGTTAGGATTACAGACAGGTGTGAGCCATTGGCACCCCACTTGAAGACTATCTTTCACATTAACCAGCAAAAAAAGCTTAAAATGGCAGTGTATCTCAAGTGGTAGAGTTCCAGTCATGAATGAAAAAGCCTACTGAAAAAACTAAGTGAGCACAAGCTCAGAGTTCAAGTCCCATTACTGGCCAAACAAAAAAACCTAATGGAGAACCCCCCCACCCCACCCCAAATACTACGATAAAAAAAATCTTAACAAATGGAAGCTTGAAGGAATCTTGGAAATGAACTAGTCTCTTACACTCACTTCACAAATAGGTCTCTGTAGGCCTTCTGTAGGCTCTGTCCATGTGTATATTTCATCCTTAAGTATACACCAGTTTTCATTCTGCTTTTGAATAAATGGTGGAAGATAATTCATGAAATAGTTTTTTTTTCCGGTGGTGGGGCTTGAACTCTGGGCTTGGGTGCTGTCCCTGCGCTCTTCAGCTCAAAGCGAGCGCTCTACCACTTGAGCCACAACGCCACTTCCTGAAATAGTTCTTAAAAAGTAACTAAAAATAAGGATGAAATGACTTAGTTTGGACCTTCTGAGTTAATAGATCGTTTGGGAATCTTAAGCTTTTTTTTTTGATAGGGAGCTTTTCAGAAAACAATACAAAACGACTGATTATATTCATTTTTAATCAACTTCAAGAGAGCTACTATAAACACTAGTTCAAACCCTTCAGATCTCTATAGGGTCCAGGAAATTTAACTCTAGGAGCTTCATACCTATTGAACTTAGGCATCTTACATTAGTGCCAGACTATAAAACAGTATTTATCAACTAAAGGCCTCTGAACATCAAGTCATCAGGAAGTCTATTAAATAAAACATGCTTATAAGAATCCATTTCTTGCTCAGCTAAGTAACAGAAACATCATTACATTAGCAGGGGGCAGTATGGTTGGTGTTAGTATATAGAGAATGATGTGTATTTGGCCTTGAACTCAAGGCCTCAATTGCTAAGCAGGCAAGGTTCTACCTCTTGAGCTACTCTGCTAGTCCCTTTTTGCCCCACCCTCACGCACCCTCCCCAGCCCCAAGTTAGAGTCTGGCTTTATGCCTGATGCTGATGAGGATTACAGTCTAGGACTAGTCTTATTTGTATTTTTATTTCCCTCTGTCAGTGACATTACAGGTGCATACCACCATACCCACATAGAGAAGGAATCTTGCAAATGTTTATGCCTGGCTGGCCTTGAAATGTATCATCCCCTGAATGCTGCCACCTCCCTAGTAGTTAGGTTTGCACCACTGCAAACTTAAGATTTTGTTGAAAGGAGAGACTTCAAGTTACAGTGCTATTTTTTTTTAAATCCATCAAGTGTTTTAAAAATGTACCTAAATCTCAGTTTCTCCATCTCCATAATAGCATTTAGATTCCATTAAAGTATTTTAAAAATTAGAAACAAAAAATGTAAAGCATTCTGGTACAGTAATTAGTATGTAGTGTTCAGTAAGTGCTGTTAGGTGCCAGGTGCCACTGTTAAACAGATTTTGAGAGGAGAAAAAAAGAATTGTAGTATAAAATGGCACCGATCTATAAATGTAAAGATAACTGAGTTACCAATACAAGTTTTAATTGTGCTTAAGATTGCATATTATAATGTACAAACATTTCAATCCCAAGTGGTTAAACATCTGAAATGATTTTTTGGCTTCCGATTAATAAGTTGTCTTAAGAACTCATTTACACAATTTAGTTTTGAATTTTATTTATATTTTCTATGTAAATATGCATCACAAGCAAATGTACATTTTCTTCAAATGTTTACAATAAAAAATACAATATAAAATGTTGGAAGTAAAAAGACCTGTTACTCCAAATGCATTCTGTAGGAAGTTGCTTACATGTTAGATGTACCTAGAAACCTGTATAAAACATAAGACTTTACACCTACACTTACACAATCAAGTTCACTTAAAAAAATACTGTAGGAAGCTTTCAATGTTAGTACATCAAGTTCCATTTCATTAAAAAAAAATCTGTAGTCTACAGTATGAATATGCTGTCATTTACTTAAATTCTGTTGGAATAGTAGACCATTTCCTCCAGATAACCTTTAAAAAGTTATTATTCTGATAACATGAAAATGAGTCAGATCCATCTCTGTATATGGAATACTATATGGATTAAGATATGGGAAGTTGTTAAGGGTTTTTGTACCTTTTGAAAAAAAATCTAGAGATATACTGTGAATTAACCACCTACAGTTTATTTAGTGTATTTTTTTCTTTATGGTGCTGGTCCTAGAGCTTGAATTCTTGGCGTGGGCACTAACCCTGAGCTTCTGTGCTCAATGCTAGTGCTTTACTACTTGAGCCCCAGCTCTACTCCTTTGGCATATATCTTTAAAAGCATTATATCTGTATGATTAGAAGACAGCTCATGATGGATCCAACTGTTGGAAGTTGTGCACTTACAAATATTATAACTGAATAAAATTGAATTGTTTCCATTGACAATGTTTTAGTAACAAAAATTCTTAAAAGCCAATAAAAACTCTAATAAAGGTATTTATAGATTACAATTGAGTCAGATACAATTGAGTCAGATAAACTTGAAGGGTAAATAAAATGTTACCTGTCAATGACTATTTTTCTTCCTTGAAATTATTTTGATTACTCAATAAGCAAGCAATTTTACAGACAGAAAAGGCAAAGCGTGTGTGTGTGTGTAGAGCTATTTCACATACCTTGGTGGCTGTTACTGATGCAGCCAAGTTTGTAGTTTTGGAAGAAGACCCATTAGAACTTGGTGGTGGTGTCTGAGCCACTACGGATTTACTGTTTGTACTGTTTGTTCCATTAGCAGCACTGGCAGAGTGGGAGAAAGTAAATTTGAAGCTACCAGAAGATGTCCTTTTAGGAAGATTTTCTTTGTCTTCACTTTCTTTTGCTAAAGTGAAAGTAAAAAAATTTAACCTATGTTAATAAATATTGCTAAACCAAAGCATCTGAAAAAATTAAAAGCATAAAATATTGCCTTTGTTTTCTAAGAGCCAAGTACAGTGTGAAGTTTGTGGTTTGCAGTGATAAATCTTTATTAGTTAGAATTATATAAGTCTAAGCATTAGAAAGAACCTGAAGAATTAGGTAACATTTTTTAAGCCACTTCAATGCTAGAATCCTACACTGCTGTAGTATTGCTTGAAAAGATTCATTAGTGGACTGTTATTATTTAGACTTTCATTCTGATTTACATTTCCTTACACCTTGTTAAAAACTTAATAGCCTTCCCAGCAAGTAACATTTTATACACTAAAGACAATAAATATTCCCCAGTCTTTCATATTCTAAATATTAACAGGTTCCTTTATTTCTTTTATGGCATATATGTCTAATCCCTTTTAATATCTGGTTACTTGTAGTTTTTGTATATGATTCTTGGCAGCATGGTACACCATAGTGGTTGCAGTATCTCAAGTATGGTCTTATTGCTTCTTATCTAGGCTACTCAGGAGGCTGAGATCTGAGGATCATAGTTCAAAGCCAGCCCAGGCAGGAAAGTCCATGAGACTCTTATTTCCAATTAACCACCAGAAAACCAGAAGTAGCACTGTGGCTCAAGTGGTAGAGTGCTAGCTAGCCTTGAGCTGAAGAGATGAGGGATAGCACCCAGGCCCAGAATTCAAGCCCCAAGACTGAAAAAAAGAGTAAAACAGCAAATAGAAGCTGAGTAATGGTGGCTCATGCCTATACTTCTAGCTACTCAGGAGGCTGAGATCTTAAAGTTGTGGTTTGGTCAATCTGGGCAGTTAAGTCCATGAGACTCTTCTCTACAATTTAAGAGCAAAAAGCTTGAAGTGAAGTTGTGGCTGAAGTAGTAGAGTGCCAGCCTTAAGCAGAAAAAGCTTAAAGACAGCACCCAGGCTTGTAGTTCAAGCCCAGTACTGAATGCACAAAACAAACAAAGAAAACAAACCAGAGCAAGTGGCAAATGAGACCAAAACTAACAGTTTCAAGGGAAATATGATAAATCAAATTAAATGAATTTCTAATATAGGCCTTTAGAAAGTATGACATTCAAATTAAGCTCAAGGCTGCATACTGGTGGCTGATGCTCATAATCCTTAAGTTACTCAGGAGGCTGAGATCTGGGAATGAATGAGGTTCAAACCAATCATACTTACTATTCAAGACTCTATCTCCAGTTAACTAGGAAAAAGCTAGGGTGGAGACAAGGATCAAGTGGTAAGAATATCAGCTGTGAGCAGAAAAAGCCACGTGGAAAAAAAGCCAAGCAAGAACACAAAGCTCTAAGTTCAAGTCCAAGAAATTCTTTTGGTTACAACAAATAAATTGCTAATAATATACACGAAACGTTTTGCTTGTTAACTGGAGGTAAGAGTCTTGACTTGTCTGCCTGGGCTGTGTGAACCATCATCCTCCAGGTGAGTAGCTAGGATTATAGGCATGAGCCTCTGTGCCCGGTTTACAACATACAAATATTTTTTTCCCCAGAAGGTAGAAAACTCGTTTATTAAGAGAGCAACCCTTTTAAAAGCCAAAAAGGGCGGGTGGCATGGCAGGGGAGGAAGAGGAACCAATCACTGTCAAGGTCACACCCTATCATGCACCTAAGCTTTCACGGGCTGGTTACGAACTGAACGTCAAGTGAACTGGGCTCTGCCCACTCTACTCTCTCTCAGTGCCATCTTTGCTGCCCATGTGCTCTACAGTAAATTTGGGCTCTGTCCACTCAACTCCCTCTCAGCGCCATCTTTGCTGCCCAACAACATATGAAATTTTGTTATTTGCAGGACAGAATTACAAAAATGTTAATTACACAGGTCATAAAGAGCTTAATTTAAGAAAAAAAATACATTTGAAAACATGGTAAATTTAAAATTGGTTTTCCTAATTATTATGTCTTTATGCAACTTTTGTAAGCTTTAAATTGTCAAAACACTGAGTTACTTTTTTTGGGGGGTGCACGCTAAATGCTGAACTTAAGGGCTAATATTCTCAGTTGGCTTTTTCCACACATCTACTGAAAACTCTTTGCTTGTTTTACGATAAGGTATTCACAGACATGTCTGCCCAGTCTGGCTTCAAATTGTGATCCACTTTGTAAGCACCCAGGCTCACAAAGTTACTTCCCTGAGGTTACTTTATCTGTTACAAAGTACAGATAAAGTACTATATAAGGTTTTTACAGATCTATATAGTCTGTTAATAATAACGGAACGCAACTCTCACATTTAGTAACAGAAATCTCCAGTATAACAGAAATAAAAATTCACAGTGGGATTTTCATACAAAGTAAATCGAAGTTTAAGTACTCAATGAAATTTCTCCCCCCCCCCCCCCCAATGAAATTTCTAAGTAAGAGTTTGGGTATGGCAGTGCATAGTGTAAATCCCAGCACTTGGCAGGCTGAAGCTGGAGGATTCAAAGTTTAAGGCCAGTGAGGGCTACAGACAAACCTTGACTCAAAACAAACAAAATTTCTACGTAAGGCACAAAATTCAGGTCCTTCATGTTATGTAAACTACGACTAACCTTCTTGAAGAACTGAATATTCATTGTACTAAGAGGAGGTACTATACAAAAATTCAGAATTTCATACCTTTTTTAGTCTCCATAAATTTTTCATAGCTATCTGGGAAATCATCTTCTGGCTTAGATTTTTCAGCTGGTGCCACAACCACTTTTCCTTCCTCCTCTTCATCTTCATTAAACCACATTTCTTCATCTTCTTCCAAAGTCTTTGCATCTCTGCGAAATCTGTTACTACGCAATATAGATGGTACACTGTAAGAAATATATCACAAATACTGAGTAATGCTTTCATGATCAGATTATATTTAAGGGAAAAAGATGTGTAGCTAAGAGCTGAAGTAATTTTAACTATGTATATAATAAGTCCATCTTATTTATGGCTTTATTTCATGAGGTTCTGACCATGTACATTAAAAAGAGAAAAAAGAAAGAAATCTCAAACCAAAACTTTTGTATTGCATAACTTAGTGAATGTTAAAGACGGTCCCAGTCAATCCTGTATTATTTTCCCTTGTATTTATATTATGTGATCAGCTGAGTGTTTCCTTGCCCCTAATTTTGTGAAAATATGCCCCATAAAAAGCAAGAGAAAAGGCAATTTTCCAAGCTAAAAATGGCATTCAATATGCTTAAATGAGAAAGTGAAAATTTTAGATTTGATTTAGTGGAAGTTGGGCAGCATTATAAGAAAAATGAATTAAGCATCTTCAGTGTTTGAATCAAGTACGAAATAAGATCTAATGTTTAGTGAGCAGTTTGGTGTGACAATAATGTCACCTATTCCATTTGGAATATGCATGGTCTAAGTAAATTAGTAGTCTCCTTGGAACCATATAATTGGATGCCAAAAGTATATTGTATATCATGGCATAAAACATCCTGAGAACTCTCCAAAATAATTTTGGATGCTGTAAACTAAAAGTTCACCTTCAGTAACCACATAGTATTCATCATATAATGGATTTGAGTAGGTCAAATGACCTACCTCCTTACAGAATACTGTGCTATCTATCTATTGATAGAAAATTATTGGTAAACTTCACATACAAGATTCAAACTATGGGCAATTGTGGAGTCAATTTTGTAGGCTACAAATACAATAAACAATACCTGTTCAGTTTTTGATTTTGTCTGTCTTTTTCTTGTTCATATTTAGTCTTCAATCCTTTGAATGTCTGAACATATTCAATTGATTCAAGTGCTTTATAAAAGTTTTCAACTATGTGTGAAGTAAGAGACTTGATATCTTCCTGTATAAGCACAAAATTTATATTTCAAACACAGTACAATGCTTGTTACGGGAAAAAAATTTAAAAATTTTTATAGTTCCAAAGCTGATCAAAAAAACATTTTTCAAAATCACCTTCCAAAAATAAATGTCCTAGTTTCTTTATACATGCCAGAACTCCACAGAAAACTTGGAAAAAAGGAGAAGCAATTCACTGGAGCCCTTTTGTGGGACTATAAAGAACATTTGAAAAGTAAATAGATTTAGTTTATGTCTTCTATCTTTGTCATTCATATAGCATCTTAAAAAGCAGTTTTACATGTAATTTCATTTAACTGACAATTCTATGAAGTTGTATTATACCCATTTTACTAAAAACAAAACCAACACTTCCCTGCAAAAAAACCCACAAAACAACAAAGCAAAATCTCAAATTGAGGTTCTAAAAGGTTGGATGATTTGATCCAGAGCACACAGCTTGTTAAAGGGCAGATGTTACAATTCTATTTTCAACATGCACTACTTAAAAGAATTACTGGTTTAACTGCTAACAAAATGAAATGCTATATCTAAATAAACAACAGATTCTTTTGAATATATTACATATACAGATCTGAAACCTACCTATTCCTGCAGTATACTGAGGTACATGGAAAAAAGTCAGGTTAACTTTTGGGATTCAATGCATTCAAACTTTCAAATTTATTTTTAGAGAAATGTAGATTCAATCAAAAGAATAGGGACATTCATGAAATTTACAATTTATTTTTATCAGTATCTCACTAAAATTTCAAAGTAAAAAATACAGAAATAAAATGTTTATAACCTATAAAGTTTTGATTCATTAGAACATTGTATTATGAACCTGGATGAAGATGCTAACTGAGCTTATTAACAATGTTCTTCATTTACAGCTCTACTTCTGACTTGTGGTAGTTAATCAGAAGACTCTCATGGACTTTCTTGCCTGGGCTGGCTTAAGATGCCAATTTTTAGATCTCAGCTTCCTGAGTAGCTAGGTTTACAGGCATGAATCACTGGAACCTGGTTTGATTCTTCTTTTCTAAGATTAAAGACATACTTCTACCTTTTCATCCTTTGAAAAGGCTATATTCTTATAGGTGACCCCCTTAGGAAAACAATCTAGTCAGCCAAGCAATCTTCATATGAGAATAGCAAGTAATGATTATAAATTTGACTTGTAAAAGACAAAACTAGAAAGTGAAACAAAAAATGAGAATGAAACAAAAGAAATAACTAGAAAAGTTTGATTTTATCCTAATTCTTATGACAAGTTTTTTTTTATTGCCTATTGGGAATAAATTTGAATGCTTGTAAATAGGATAATGAATCATTTGAGTGTTTTGATTTCCTCAACTAATAAAAATAAGGTAGCTGGAATTGTGCATCTAACTTTCTGGTCTCTTCCACTTAAAATTTCAGGATTCCATACCTTTCATGCATCTTATAGCAAGGTCTATCAAAGGAATTATTTTTCAATCTTCCTAGTTATTTTTATTATCCTTATAAGAAAACTGAGGTAATATGGGTTAAAAGAAATAAAAATTGCATGTTTAGATTTCTCACAATCTAAAATATGGGACCAGGGTGTGGTTCAGTTGTAAGAGTATTTGACTACCATGTATTAGGACCCTGTTTTGATCCTCAGTACCAACTCCAAAAAGAACAATACTAGTATACCTAAACTGTTTAACTGTGGAAAATACGAATATAAAAGTGACTGATAGTTAACATTTCAGCTTATTAGACATAGTTTCTAAAACATGTTAAATAAAGTCAGGAGAAAATGAGAATGAAAAAATTACTTATATGTAACTAATTTACCTTTACATATAATCCTTTTCATATAGCTCTTTATCTTACATATAATTGTGCATGTAATTACATAGGTCTTCAGTATAAACTTACCACTCTTATAAATTCAAACAATTCAATAACAGCTGAATTTAACAGATTGTACCGAGTTCCATTATCCAGAAGAGCATTTATAACTGGCTCAAAAAGATTTCCCTTGGTGATGTAACGATTATAAAATTCATCTTTAAGGCCAATTATCCGCCTCATAAAACGAAGAGCACCTAATTAAAAATAATACAAAGAATAAGCCAATGAATAAACCAGTATTAATTATTTTATATGTATCTTGCCATAACTGTATAAATGCAGAACTGATGGATGTAGTGAAGACAGCTCAGTCAGCAGTGGATACTCTGCGTTCAAGCCCTATCATAGGCACCAAAAAAAAAAAACAAAAAAACTTTTACTCCTTAATAAATTTAGCAATACTGTTAACATTCTTATGAAACACAAAGGATTGTGGTAAATTTAATATTTTTATCTTGCTGATTTAACTTGTATCTTTCCCATGTAGTTTAGACTTATTCCATAGATACCACTAAGCCAAGGATTCCGATTCCTAGGTTAATCTCTTATTTCAACACTGCTCAAGGATGGAGGGGGTCATTAAAGGAAGTTGTACCTCTTACCAGCCATTTAAGGTACAAATGTATATTAACTGTGACACCAAACAAGTGTGGAAAGAAGTGCTATACTGATTTTCTGATTTTGTTTCAGAAGAAGTAATTTACTTATAAAGTAATAAGTAATGACAAAAATGTGAGACAATATATTCATATACTACTGGTAAATGAATTGATGGGCCCACAAAGTTAGTTACAAGAACACTGCTTTTCCAGTATTTATATTTTTTCAAGATAAGAATCCTGAATGGGGGGGGAAGGGGGGATGGAGGGGGGAGCTGGGAAGGAATGGGAAGGGGAAACAAAGGAGGAGGCAACAATGCTTGATAAAAAAAATGTACTCATTATCTTGCCCAATTAATTGTAACCCCTCTGTACGATATTTTCACAATTAAAAAAAAATCCTGAAAAAATATAAATACTGGAAAATCATGTACATTAAAGGAGAACTCTACAGTCAACCTGCCGAGAAAATATCAATGCTTCCAAAATTAATTTTAATCAAGATGCACTGAAGGATTTTTTTTGGGAGAGGTACTGGGGTTTTTGACCTTAGGGCCTTGGGCTTACTATGTAGCCCAGATTTTTGCTCTGTATTTTTGAGATTGCCCATGTGCAGGCTTTCCTGGTACTTAGGTTGATAGCAGCACACCAGCATGAGCAGCTCTTCAGTGAGATATTTAATTTATATTGCACAGGGTGGCCTTGAACCTCAATCTCTTCAATATCAGTCTCTCCAGTAGCTAGGACTATAGGTATGAGTCACAGGCACCCAGAATAAAATTATTTTAATTGAATTTATAAGAACACATAATTAAAATAACCAAATTATGATGGAAGAGAAAAGTGAGAATGCTAGGACTCAGTAAGCTTTACCCTTATAACAGAAATACTATGTAATGATGCAAGAATAAGCACAGCCATCATTTCACCTGATGACATTAAAGAATAGACAGTTCAGAAATACCAGACAAGTATATCTGTTATCTTACTATATAACCAAAGTGTTATTTTAATTCTGTGGGAAAAATATGGTTTTATTCATTAGCAAACATGAAGGCACTGAGTTCCAACCCTGGTACCGCCCCAAATATAAATCCGTAAAACAAACTATCACCAGAAATATTGTAGGCAATTAACACTGGCTATAGAAGGCCATAAAAATAAAAGGAGAGGCCAGGTGCTGGTGGCTCATGCTTCTAATTGTAACTATTCAGGAGGCTGAGATCTGAGGGCTGTTGTTTGAGGCCAGCCTGCACAAGAAACTCTGTGAGACTCTTATCTGCAATAAAGTACTCAGAAAGAGCCAGAGTGGCACTATGACTCAGGTGATAAAAGTGCTACCCTGGAGTCAAAGCAGCTCAGGAACAGTGCCCAGACCTGAGTTCAAGCCCCAGGGTGAGCAATGAATGAATGGAGATTGAAAGTTACGAATTAATGACAGTCTGATGAAGAAGATGGAAAACAGAAGAAAACAGATTCTACTAGCAAAATGCTGCCAATGCACGCAAGTTTGGCTAACTGATTCTGAACTCTAAATGTGTATGTGGGTGGAGGAACCACTATAAAAGATTCCTTCTGCCCTTTAAGAAACAAAAAGGAGGAAGGGGAAACAAAGGAGGCAACAATGCTTGATAAGAAATGTACTCATTATCTTGCCCATGTAATTCTAACCCCTCTATATGGTATTTTCACAATTTAAAAAAAAGGAAAAACAAGTAGGATTTTTCATAATTTTAATAACATACATACAGCTAAAAAGGCAACTTCACTTTTCATCTGTGCTAAAAATGCTGTTTCTTAAATAATTTTACAAGAATGTTCATTTAAATTTATTACTTACACAAGGCCAGGAAAGTGTGCTTTGAATTCATCAAGACTAAGACTCTTCTAAGCAAGTCCTTGTTCATGATATAGTTTTTTATGTGGTATGTGTGATGTTCCACACAAAAGGTGAGTAACTCTAAAATTAAGGCAAGTAGCTGTGCTGTTTGGTAATTATCTACAAAAGAAAGTCATTTCATTAATATAAATACTGCAATACACCACAGAATACAACATAATATTCTAGAGCATAAGTTAAATTGTATTTCCTACTTTTGATAGCAATTTAAAAGACTGTAGATTTTTATTATTTTATTGAGCATGTGATGTGTTATCAGTTACCTACTACCGTTTAAGAATTTTATTTGTATAAAAACTTAGTAATAACCAGGTGCCGGTGTCTCACTCCTGTCATCCTAGCTACTCAAGAGGCTGAAATCTGAGGATTGTGGTTCAAATCCAGCATGGGCAGGGAAGGAAAATCCGTGAGACTCTTATCTCCAATAAAAACCACCAGAAAACTGGAAGTGGCACTGTGGCTCAAGTGGTAGAGCTCTTGCCTTGAGCTGAAGAACTGAGGGACAGCTCCCAGGCCCAGAGTTCAAGCCCCATGACCGACCAAAAAAAAAAAAATTAGTAATAAGAAAAGCTAAATGTAAATCTATACATGTGATAAACAACCATCATTTCATTGAGTTTTTTGGTTTCTGTTTCCTAAATGTTTATTATTAATTATTAGTTCATTTATATAAAGCATCCCATAGTAAAGAGAAACTATGTCCCAGTTTTTGTCTAAAGGGGATCATTTAAATTTCTTGAAGAACTAACATGTTTTCTTTTAAACACATCAAGCAAATTATATTGTTGGCTATTTTCAGTGTCAAGTAAAAAATACTGTGTTTGCCAGGTACTGGTGGCTGAGATCTGAGGATTGCAGTTCAAAGCCAGCCCAGGCAAAAAAGTCCATGAAACTCTTATCTTCAATAAACCACCAGAAAACTGGAAGTGGCGCTGTAGCTCAAGTGGTAGAGCGCTAGCCTTGAGCTGAAGAGCTGAGGGACAGCAAAAAAAAAAAAAAAAAAGAATTGTGTTCAAAATAATTTTAAACATAAATTTATGATATCCACTGGCCAATTGAAATAGACTACCCACACTCCCCCAAAAAGTTTTGGTCCATGAAAAGGATTTGTGTGCTTGTACTGGGACTTGAACTCAGGGACTTCAGCTTTCATTTCACTTTTTCACTCATAGCTATTTTTTTTTTAATCACTTGAGCCATGCCTCCAGTTTGGCATTTTCCTGGTTAATTGGATGGAGTCTCATTAACTTTTGTGCCCAAGTTGGCTTTAAGCTTCAAACCTCCAGATCTAGGCCTCCTAAGTAGCTAGGATTTTAGATGTGAGCCACTGGAAATAATTCATGAAACAATTTTGAACTGCTGCTTGAACATCAAATTTTAATGTGATTAAGGAGTTATATGGACAAACACCCTCTATTATAAATGCGTTCGGGAAGGAAATATTAAACCATAAAGAAACTGAAATCAGTTCCCCAGAGATTTGATGAGATGGATAGAAAAAACATTAAACTAGGTGCCTACATCGTCAGGCCTGTACCTGGTAAGCAGAGGAACAGAGTTATGACTTGGATTTAAGAATACTATGTGTAATGTTTGTTATAAACTGACATGTCATTAAGTTCCTAACAGATCTTAGCTTGTTAGATTTAAAAAGTTAAAAAGCCAAGTGTAGTGGTACACACTTGTAATTGCAACATTTGGGAGGGTAGAGACAAGAAGATCATTGTTTGAAGTTAACATGAACTGCACCTCCAGACACTGTCTCAAAAAACACCCTCCAAATCCTCAATTTACAGACAATGATGCCTAGAAACAATGTCAGAAAACAAGCTATAAATTTACAGAAAAAGAATTTATACTTACCAGGACAAATTGTGTTGTTTTTGTTAGATCCATCTATATCATCTAATAAAAAAAATTAAACTATTTCAGTTATCTTACACATCTCCCTAATAGTTTATAATACATAAAATACGTTGTCAGTCTTCTTTCACCTTCATAACATCATTAAGAGGTGGTTACTGTGGTCAAGTATGATACAACTATTTGTATTCTTTTATGGAACTGGGTATAGATGTGGAATAAATATAAGTGAGATTATAATTAGAAGACTGATACGTTTTTTTGAAATTTGATAAGAAAATTTTTATCTGACTCAGTACACATGCTTCCTATTTTATTTTAGAAAACAAATCAATATTCCCTGTGTTCAAGGAATACTAATACAGGGACTACTAATACTTTGATACATCTTTTACAGTTTTCCTATTTATTATTCAACAATTAGTGTATGTCTTTGAATAGCATATTTGAAGCAAAACATACAGGAATTTTTAAAACTTCAAAATACATCAATAATGTTTTCTAAGGAAACTATTATTTTAAAATTACCTTATACTAATTACAAAGACGAGGATTTCATCATTACATTTCCACACATTTTTACATATATTTCAGTTATCCACTCTATCACTTTCAATACTCAAATAATTCCAGAAGTTTTCCTTGTTTAATTATCATAGTTACTTACAATTCATCTTTTTTTGTGCCAGTCCTGGGGTTTAAACTCAGGGCCTGTGCACTGTCCCTGAGCTTTTGTGCTCAAGGCTAGTACTCTACCACTTGCCACACAGTTCCGCTTTTTGACTGTTTAGAAGTTCATTGGAGTTAAGAGTTTCATGAACTTTCCTGCTCAATCTGGCTTTGAACTCAGATCTTAATCTCCAGAGTAGCTAGGATTACAGGCATGAGCCACTGGCATCTGGCCATATGGTTTTTGATAAGCAATAAAATTACTAAGAAAATTTCCAGGTACATATCCCATGGCACATATAGGCATATCTTCATAGGGAAATACAAAACTATGCATCAGAACATCATGTGTTAATAGCAAAAAAATCTAGAAATAAATGTTATATTAGAAGCAGGCTAAACTGCAGAATATTCATTGATGTAAGAAATACTATACAAGACTGCAGATTTGGAATACTTTAAAGTGATGCCAGGGAAGAGCATAGGATATATAAGGTGGGAATGTTATTGTAAAAAAGTACAAAGCTATGTATTTTTTTTAATTAAAAATTTTAGGGTTGAGGGGCTGGGAAGGTGGCTCAGTGGTACAGCGCTTGCTTTGCATGCATGAGGCCCTGGGTTCGATTCCTCAGCACCACATAAGCAGAAAGAAAAAAGCTGGAAGTGGCACTGTGGCTCAAGTGGTAGAGCACTAGCCTTGAGCTGAGGGACAGGCACCCAGGCCCAGAGTTCAGGCCCCACGACCGGAACCCCCCCCCCCCCCCGAAAAAAAAAAATTTAGGGTTGGGTGCGAGTGAGTCATGCCTGCTACCCAGGAGGCTGAGATCTGAGGATTGTGGTTCAAAGCCAGCCTGGGCAGGAAAAGTCCATGAGACTTTTATTTCTAATTAACCACCAGAAAACCGGAAGTGGAGCTGTGGCTCAATGGTAGAGTGCTAGCCTTGAGCAAAAAGAAGCTCAGGGACAGTGCCCAGGCCCTGAGTTTAAGCTCCAGGACTGGCAATAAGTAAATTAAATAAAGAAGTAGGCAAGTTAGATTTAATAGAGCCAGAGGAGTATAAATGTCTATTATACAATTATCTACATACTTGTATATGCTGGAAGTATTTTAAAATGAACATTAAACATGATGTATTATAAATGGAATCATTCTTCAATAAAATCTATTGGAAGATGCTTCTGTATCTACTCAACTGTATATTTTCAAAAATATTTTAAGTTAATACATTGAAATTCAATTATTTTAACTGATGTACCATAGTCTAGCATACGAATACACTTGGTTTTCTGACCAGGAATAATGCAGTAACACTCCTTTGCTGGCCATTCAAATGTAAAAACACTCCTCAGAGTATATATATAATCACAAAAAAATTGATATTATACAGGTGTGCATGCCTACATCACAACATTAGTTTCATACGTACTGCCTTAGTTTCTCTTGATTATCAACATTTTCAGATAGTAGCTAATGTTCTAGTATGCTCCCACATTTCTGATTTCACCAAGTGAGTTGTATATTTTTCAGTCACTTGTTTAAGCATGGATTATGATAATACAAACACTGCAAACTGATAAAATTTAACAGAGTTATTATATATGGCAAAGTTGAATATAGCAAAATACCACTTAAAAATTATTTAATAATTAGATATACAACTATGGCTATCTGGAGGAGTATGTTCAGAATGCTTCAAAAATAACATTAGGCAACCATTTCACTTCAATAAACTTGAAGTAAAATTTACAGCTCATAAATTACTAGTGTAATGAATGCAATAAAATATATAAAATTTAATTACTGAATATAAGAAAAAGCCTTCTATATATTGGTAGGTGTTTATATTCAGAAACAAGAAATAGCATGACTGGTAATAGTCTCAAATCTGCAATAGTCATATAAAGCACCATGGAGAAAGCCTTACTTTTAGTATTATTTCACATTTTTAAAAACAGAAATAATGAAGGCACAAGGATGAAAACCTACCCTTTTCACCTTTGTCTTCTGAAGTATTGGTCAAAAGTGGTGCAGTGAGGACATGCATACAATGGTTGTAGAAGAAATTTAGAAACTCACTCTTTTCCGTTTTCTAAACCAAATAAGAAATTTTAAAGAATACTTTATTGTCTTCTAAGTTAAAAAAGCATCCTCAAGAATTAGTATTGTATGTCATAAATGAAAAACAGGTACCTTATCTTATTGTGAAAACAAAAATCTAGCTATATACTATGAAAGGAGAAATTTAAATATATTCACTTTTTCTTCAGAAATGCAAATTGCCTATTTTCTATTGTATATTAAATAAAAATGAAAGCAAGGAAAAGATCAGATAGCATCATAAAATATTTTGCCAAGGATATTTACAAGAAGATTATTTTGAAGATGGTGGTAATCAAAAATGCGATGAAGAGCCAATCAATGTCACCCCTTCCCTCACTGAGTTTTTTTCCAACACCCCACCCCCCAAACAATCAGGCTATGTAATATGTAATGCCAAGTTAACTGTTTATGAAGTTTGGAATCCCAGATTTTGCTACCTATCTGAATTTGAATAATTACTAGACCATTAGATAGAAAAATGAAATTTTAATTTGTTCTATAAATTTTAAAATTTAGATTTTGGAAATTTAGAAAGTAATGCTTTTTTTTTTTTTTTAGTTATACAATCCTACAAGCAAATTAGTAACAATTGAAAAATAATGTGAACATTTCTTTGTAAGAAATTATTTGTTTTTTGTTGGTGGTGGGGGTTTGAACTCAGGGCCTGGGCTTTTTCACTAAAGGCTAGCTATGACTTTGAGTCCCAGTGCCCTTCTGGTTTTATGGTGGTTAATTAGAGATAAGAGTCTCAGACTTTCCTGCCAGAGCTGGCTTTGAACTGTGATCCTCAGATCTAACCTCTTGAGTAGCTAGGATTATAGATGTGGGCCAACCAGTATCCAGCTTCTGTAAGGAATTTTACTGAGATAACCATTACTAATATACTGGAATCAAACTCTTTTATGACTATAGTTAAGAACTTTCATTTTATGCTCACTTTAAAGCATAGAGTTCAGTAATGTTAACATATTCATACTGCTACATATAAATTTTTTGGAAGTTAATTTACAGAGGTCAAGGGCCATATGTAGAAATTTCCAATATTTTATTAGGGTTTTAAGAAGGCTGAGTGTGATGGCAGATATCTGTAATCTTAGCTACCCAAGAGGCAGTGATTGGGATGTTTTGATTTTAGACCAGTCCTGGGCATAAATGTGGAATATCTAAAAAATACCAAAAGCAAAAAAGTTTTATGTAGGCCTTAAGCGGTAGTGTGCCTGCCTAGTAATCAGAGGCCCTGAATTCAAACCCTACTACTAAAAACTATCTCTCTCTCTCTCAAAAAAAAAAAAGAAAGAAAGAAAAAGAAAAAGAAAGAAAGAAAACCGGGAATCGGTGGCTCACGTGTGTAATTCTAGCTACTCAGGAGGCTGAGATATGAGGATCACGGTTCAAAGCGTGGCAGACAGGAAAGTCTGTGAGACTCTTATCTCCAATTAACCACCAGAAAACTGGAAGTGGCTCTGTGGCTCAAGTGGTAGAGCGCTTGCCTTGAGCTGAAGAGTGCAGGGACAGTGCCCAAGTCCAGAGTTTAGAGCCCTATGACCGCCACCACCACCACCATCAAAAATACAATTTGTACAGTCTGCATTTAGTGTCGTATGATTCAATGCAGGAATACTAATGCTGGTTGAATAAATTTGCTTCTCAAAACTTTATTATAAACCTGACTAGACAGAAACATTTTTTATCTCAGAGTAATTTCTTACATTACTTGTAGCCAGCATGTTCTCCGGGTCAATTAAAGTTCGAAGAAGTCCCATTAACTGGACTGCACCTCCTAGTTCAGGATCAGAGTCACAGATCATTTGTTCGATTACTACATTAATAAGAAGGATATCCTATAAGAAAACATTTCTATTAGAAATTGTTTTGGATATAATAAAACAAACACCAAATGAAAAAAAAATCAGAATCATATATAGAAAAAAAAACAGAATAGAAGAGCTTAAACATTTTCATTCCAATTTTTTCTTTTTTTCTTTTTTTGGTCGGTCATGGGGCTTAAACTCTGGGCCTGAGCACTGTCCCTCAGCTCTTCAGCTCAAGGCGAGCGCTCTACCACTTGAGCTACAGCGCCACTTCCGGTTTTCTGGTGTTTTATTGGAGATAGGAGTCTCACGGTCTCTCCTGCCCGGGCTGGCTTTGAACCGCGATCCTCAAATCTCAGCCTCCTGAGTAGCTAGGATTACAGGCGTGAGCCACCAGCGCCCGGCTTCATTCCAATTTTTTCAAAGTTCAAAAAAATAAATAAACATTCTCTCTTTACCTACCCCAAACCAGCTTATAGGGAAGTGGAAGAGAGAAATCATCGGTGACACTTTCACTGGAGCTTCTAACAGATTATCATTTTAGGTTGGACCTTCAGGCTTACATTTAGAGTGTTAGACAAGCAAGACCAAGTATCATTTGGTTCTAAACACCAGATTTTTCTTGGCCTCTACATATAAAATTCTTTTGTAGCTCAGGCTGAGGATGTAGGCCAGTGGCAGAGTACTTGCTCATGTATAAAAACCCTGGGTTTGGTATCCACCAAAGAAACAAAACCAACCAAACACAACTGTATAATGGATTTATTGATTATAATGGTGTCCTGCAAGTTGTTTTTTTTTCCAATAAATCAACTGTTACTTACACTGAGCTTGTTCATATCACAACTGATCAGAATTTTACATTCCATAATTTTGATGACGATTTTTTCAAACAATATTATTTACAAACACCATATCACAGGCAATTTACAAAGAACAACAGTATTATTACTTACATCATCACTCTGCTGGGCTTCTTGCATTACAAATTCTCGAACCATAGATGGACTAAATTCTACCAGATAAGAAAATATATCTGTAGCAGCTGATCTAACTTGCAAATCATCCATGCCCTGATAAAAGGAAAGCTAAGTTATTCAGATATAGTTAACAAAAACTATTACTGCAATCCCCCCCTTTTTCCAAATCCATGTATTCTCAAATTTTTGGATTAAGCTATTGAATTGATGTGAGGATCTTGCTCATCATTATCTTGAGCTTTCCTAGCCTGTAAAATGCCCTAGGATTGATATCCCTAATAACAAAAGAACAAAATATACTATAACCAAAATATGTTATCTCTTCAGTTGAGGGTCATGGCTCATAAAGTGTTTGCCTGTTAAGTTCAAGACCCTGAATACTAGACTACATATAAACATATATGCATACAAAATGTAAAATATCTGTTCCTTTGTTTTTATTAAGATTTTGGGATAGCTTGCAAATAAGTTTCTGCTGTTTTGTACATATAGAAATATTTCACAGGGGGCGGGGAGAGGCTGGGAAGGGATGGGAAGGGGAAACAAAGGAGGAGGCTACAATGCTTGATAAGAAATGTACTCATTATCTTGCCCATGTAATTGTAACCCCTCTGTACAATATTTTCACGACAAAAAATAAATAAAAATTTTTTAAAAAAATAATTTACAAATAAATTTTTGGAGAATTTAAATCTAAGAACTGTCACAGAACTGAGTGTGGTGGGCATGCCTCTAATAGCAACACTTAGGATGCGGAGGCAGGGGGAAGTTGAAGAAAAAGAAAAATTAGCATAAGAGAATAATGAATAGAAACAAGAAATAAATACCCTAAAAATATCTCATTTTAAATTTTCAGACAGTATATACCAATGGATAAAACTCATATAACTGAAATCTAAAAACCATATTGCAACAGTAGCCATGAGATCCATCTTTACTCCACTTAAAATTTTATTGGTTTCAATAAATCACAATATCCTCACAGTCTTTAAAAAATTAGATTTTTATTCACCTAAAGCCATGTTATAGACAAATGTTACATATTGACATGACAAATTAGTATAACTGACAACTGAAATTTTTGTGGTAAAATCCAGTATCAAGTGAATAATAAACTAAGAAAATGAATTCCATTATTATCCCACCCACATTATAAATCTATCACAAATTTACAATTTTAAAAGTACGAGAAGACATAATTACCATTACAATTTCAAGAGCAGGAAGAATTCCTAATTTTGCCAAAGTTTTGAAAAATGCATCCCTGTTTTGAGGTTGCAATGTCTGAGAAAATGCACAAAATTCCTTGAAAAAATTAACCTATAATATTAAAAATTATAGTTAGAAAATAAACATACAGAACTTTAGGCATTCACACACAGTGAGACCAAAGGAGGATAATCTTAGGAAAGGAACACAAAGGTACAATTCCTATGTGCCTCTGCTAATATAAAATTATTATTTATCAAAATGAACTCCATGAACTGGAAACACACAATATTACCTGAAACTCTGGAATTTACCCTTCTAAAGGATCTTGTCTTTTCATACTATGTTGCCTCCTCAAAATTTACACTGAATATCATATTAAGCCAGAAAACTGTTATTAAAAACTAGTTCCAAAGCTGGTGCTGGAGGCTCATGCCTGTAATTCTAGCTACTTAGGAGGCTGAGATTTGAGGATCAGATCTAGCCTGAACCTAGTTCAGGCAGGAAAGTCTGGGAGACTCTTATCTCCAATTTATCCACAAAAAGCAGGAAGTAGAGCTATAAGCCCAAGTGGCACAGCACTATTTGAATGGAAAAGCTAAGGGACATGCCTGGGCCCTGATTTCAATCCAGTATATGCACAAAACCCAAGTTAAAACAAAAACAAAACAAAAAAACTAAACCTGAAACACTAGCACCATGAGTGGCGGTGCCTATTTATAATCCCAGTACACAGGAGGCTGAGGTATGATGATAAAAAATAGTCACTTTAAAAACAAAAGATACCAATACCTCATTAAAAGTGAATTCTACATTATTCCTCAACACTGATTCTCTTGAAATGCAGCATAGTGCACAGAAATCTTGTAATAAAATGTGGCTGTAGCTGGGTGCAGGTGGCTTATGCCTATAATCCTAGCTACTCAGGAGGCTGAGATCTGAGGATCATGGCTTGAAGCCAGGATGGACAGGAAAGTCTGTGAGACTCATTTCCAATAAACTACTCAGAAAAAGCTGGAAGTGACACTGTGGCTCAAGTGGTAGAGCACTAGCCTTGAAAAAAAGATCAGCTCAGGGACAGCACCCAGGCCAAGTTCAAGCACCAGGAAAGGACCTTACTTCCCGCCCCCCCCCAAAGTCTCTGTGACAATGACACAATTCTAAGAATTAGAATATAAAAAATTCTCTAGTTTAAAACACTCATTTTGCAAATCAGAAAACTGAGTAGGTTCTTAATAACTACATCACATATGGCTTGCATCATTTTAAGTCAGCAATTTTTCATTAGTTTATAAACTTCCAAATCTGTTTGAGGAAATGAGGAAACATTTGGTACCAATTATCACTATTCTCTTCTCTAATATGATTTATATCTTAGAAAAAGTTAAACACACTAAAAAATTTCTAATAAACAATTTCTCATCCATGTAAGAAGCATTTCTTTAAGTCTTTTTAAAAAGCATCTTTGTTATGTAAGTACCTACAACTATGTATGAGTTTATAAATCTGTCTTTATATAAGCCCTCTATCTGATTTCGGGATTTATAAGCCATTCAAATTCCCTCATGGAAATGGGCACACACATCTCAGAACATTGTAAGAGCTTTCTAAAAACAAAAACAATTTTTAGAAAGACAACAGTTTACCAATTCACGCCTTTTATCATCATCCGTAGCCTCATCTGTTAATTGTGCAAAAACTTCAGACAAAAACTTCTCATCTTCCTGCATAAGAATTATAAATTTTTAATCAACATTTGAAGTTATATTCACTTAAAGATTAAAATTCAGTAACATTTTCTTCATAAAACAAATATACAGGTTATATTTATGCTGTCATTTCCCAAAATTTGATTATATTATTATCTAGTAATACATAAACATATAATTAAACCTCCCTATAAAGAACTGATGATTGAGGGCCGGAGACATAGCTCAAGTGGCAGCTTGAATGCCCACTATGCAAAGTTGAGTTCAAACTCTAGTACTGTCCAAAACTCTTCCAATAAACAAAAAACCTTTAATCTGAGGTTCTCAGGAGGCTGAGATCAAGAGGATAGAGATTCAAAGCTAGCATGGAAAGTCTAAATAATCAACAAAAAGCAGGATGGAGGCATGGCTCAACTGGTAGAATTCTTGTCTTTTAGAAAGTTCAAAGTCCTGATCTTTAAATCCCAGTACTACAAAACAACAAAAAAAATCCATGAAGAAGCCAGGCGCTGGTGGCTCACGCCTGTAATCCTAGCTACTCAGGACTGTAATCCTAGCTACTCAGGAGGCTGAGATCTGAGGATCGCGGTTCAAAGCCAGTCCGGGCAGGAAAGTCCGTGAAACTCTTATCTCCAATAAACCACCAGAAAATCGGAAGTGGTGCTGTAGCTCAAGTGGTAGAGTGCTTGCCTTGAGCTGAAGAGCCCAGGGACAGCACCCAGGCCCAGAGTTCAAGCCCCATTACCAACTCCCCCCCCCCCCCCCCCCGCAAAAAAAAAAAAAATCCATGAAGGAAACCACTAGGTGTAATTATAGAAAAGTATGTAAGTATGTCCAGTGCTCCCACTGGACATTAAATAGGTGCTACTCAAAGATAAACACTGAGAAATAAACCTTTTCATTAGTTGGACTCAGTGGCATTTTTTTTTCTTATTTACCTCATTTGCCTTTTGGACCTTATGAACTATGGATATAAAGGATCATAATGTATAGGTGATTTTTTATTTGTCCTTTCAACCACTTTTCCCAAATACTTTCAGGAGGAAGTACATGTTTCCCATGATCAAATCTTTAAAAATTTTATAATTTTTCCCACATTTCTAAATCTTCATCCTTTCCTGATTAAAAGATTAAGTTTTTCAGAGGAAAAAATGTCAACTCCATGCTAAATACAATTTTCCACTTAAATTTTTTCTTGCAGAATTCAGTATTTATAGATGGACTAGCCTCTTAGTAGCCTAGGACTACCAGTAACAGTAACACAGATTCTGCAGACAAGAACTTCATATACAGCTGTGCACTGGTTGCTCACACCTCTCAGGAGGCTAAGATCTGAGGATTGCGGTTTGAAGCCAGCCTACAAGCAACTGTGAGATTCTTAAAACAGGAAGTGGTGTTATAGCTCAAGTAAAAGTGTTAGAGCACCCTGCCTTGAGCAAAAGAAGCTCAGGGACAGAACCCAGGCCGAGAACCAGTACTGGCAAAAAAACAAAAACTCTGTCTACCAAATTACAAGATTAAATATATTAAGTCCTGTATATGAGTCCTTCAAAATATTGTATGAACTAAGAATCACATAACAGCTTTTTTTTTAAAAAAAAAAAAAACCACAAGATTTAAATATTTTACATATTCAATTAGTAAATGAAATTAGAAATTTCTTCTTCTTTTTTTTTTTTTTTGCCAATCCTGGGTCTTGAACTCAGGGCCAGGGTATAGACCGTTAGCTGCTTTTTGTTCAAGGCCAGGTATTCCACCACTTGAGCCACAGCACCACTTCCAGCTTTAAAATAAGCAAGTGATCAATATGCATTGTATTCATAAATTGCTTTGCTGAATGGCAACTCCTTTGTAAAACTGAAGATAATTAAAAAATTAAGAGAGCAACAAATTTTAAAAAAAGAACAACTATTCCTCATAGGTTTCCTTTAAGTTAGATAGAATGTGTGATGTCTTAAAAAACATATACCTTATAGCTGTCTAGATGGAAATAACCACATTTTACTTGGTGTTTTTTTTGGGGGGGGGAGGGTGTGAGGGGTGGTCAGTCATGGGGCTTGAACTCCTGAGCCTGGGTGCTGTCCCTCAGCTCTTCAGCTCAAGGCAAGTGCTCTAATAACTGAGCCACAGCACCACTCCGGTTTTCTGGTGGTTTATTGGAGATAAGAGTCTCATGGACTTTCCTGCCCCGTCTGGCTTTGAACCGCGATCCTCAGATCTCAGTCTCCTGAGTAGCTAGGATTACAGGTCTGAGCCTCTTTTATTGGATTTTAAGAATTCATTTTTGCAAAGTATGGCTGTGGTGATTACACATCTATAAGCCTAGCTAACTCTGGAGGCTGAGATCTGAGGATTGCAGTTCAAAGCTAGCCCATGGAGACACCTGGTACTCTTTTTTTTTTTTTTTGCCAGTCCTGGGGCTTGAACTCAGGGTCTGGGCACTGTGCGTGAACTTCTTTTGCTCAAGGTTAGCACTCTACCACTTAAGACACAGCGTCACTTCTAGCTTTTTCTGTGTATGTGGTATTGAGGAATCGAACCCAGGGCTTCATGCATGCTAGGCAAGCACTCTACCACTAAGCCAAAGTCCCAGCCCCAAAATGGGACTCATCAATAATTAACCAGCAAATTGCTGGAAGTAGAGGCAACTCACATGGTAGAGCCCTCACCTTGAGGGGAAAAAAAGCCAAGCAAGAGTTGAGCCCCTGAGCTCAACCTCCAGCACAAAAATATTAACAAATATTTATTTCTTAATTCTAAGCACAGTTGCTCAATTTGAAATTAGGTATATGGTTAGGATAACTATTCCCATGTACATTTTATGATTTTGCTCTACCTTATTTTAGTCCAGATAGATAAAATGTGTAAATTTTCACTTACCTCAGTCATGTGACAGTATATTAAATTCATCTTACAATCCAGAGGTATGCATGTCATATGGAGAGAAGAATGTCTGGAAACACCTAAAACCTAGCCAAAAATTTCTACACAGAATTGGTAGAAATGAGCCATTTAGGAAATGAGCCATCGACACCTGTTGGTTTTGGATTTGGTGTTAGTTATGGGTCTGAACTCTGTCTTGAGTATTATCGCTTAGTTTTTTTACTCAAGGCCAGCACATTATAACTTGAGTCACAGTTCTACTTCTGGCTTTTCGCTGAGTAGTTGGCAATTGGTCATTACCTTAATTTCTTTCCTTCTTGTATATTTTTGAAAATATAATTTAGCTTACAGTGTTTGGCTGATTAAAAAAAATGCATCTCAAGTACTAGAAAATATTTTTTTAAAGTTGTTCTTGATTTATATTACAGCTCTCATACACATTTTTGTTTATACATTAACACAAATTGTTTCAAATATTTATGATTTAGTTTGTATAATTTATTCAAATATAAAACATATTTATGACTTATGATTATAGATTTAGAAACAAACAACAGGCTCCTGCCTGTAATCCTAGCTACTCCAGGGGCTGAGTTCTAAGAACTGCAGTTCGAAGCAAGCCTTGAGAGCAAAGTATGAGACTGTGGCCCAAGTGTTAAATTGCTAGACTTGAGCAAAAAAGCCCAGGGACAGCCCTAAGTTCAAGCCCTAGGATTGGCACAAAAAAGAAAGTTAAAAAAGCTAGTTATAAAAAAAAAAGTGTGAAGAAAACCGGGTGCCAGTAGCTCATGCCTGTAATCCTAGCTACTCAGGAGGCTGAGATCTCAGGATTGTGGTTCAAAGCCAGCCTAGGCAGGAAAGCCCGTGAGACTCTTATCTCCAATAAAACCACCAGAAAACCAGAAGTGGCACTGTGGCTTAAGTAGTAGAGTGCTTCCCTTGAGCAAAAGAGCTGAGGGACAGCGCCTAGGCCTAGAGTTCAAGCCCCATGACCAACAAAAAGAGTGAAGAACAGTCATGTGAAAGCTACCATTGACAGTCTGACACTGGATCCTTTATATTAACTAGAACATGACTAATTTATCATAATGGCTTGAGACTGCAATTGTTTTGCTATTATTAAGTAAAATAACATCCTAGAATACAGAGCATGGTTAAAAAAGAAAAAGCTGGATGTGATGGTGCATCTAGCACTTGAGAGGCTGAGTAGGTTGGATGGTTGTAAGTTTGAGGCCAGTAGGGACCATGTAGCAAGACCCTGCATCAGACTGACAAAGCCCCATGTTTCATAAAAGGAACCAACCTAATGCATATACTTAACTCCTTTTACATCCATTACTGGTGAATAATGAAAAACTGACAACTCTATTGTAATTAAAATTTCAATTGAGGCTCATCTTAACCAATGGCTAGACATAGTGGAGCACACCTATTATCTCAGCAAAATTAGGATCATGGCCTAGGCAAAAAGCATGACCCCATCTTGAAAATGATAAACACAAAAAGTACTAGCATGGCTGAAGTGGTAGACAGCCTGCCTAGAAAACACAAGATTCTGAGTTCAACCCCAGTACCACGAAAGAGGAATAAAGCAGTAAATGAAGTTACATTTTCTATGCTTCACAGTACAATTTTAAAATAAATAAATCATTTTGAACACTAGATCAAAGTATTATGGAACAGAATTGTGAAGCTTACCTGCAACATGCTGACGATCTCAACTTTGTTGAAGAAAATAAAAGATGTTAGAGTAGAAAGAAAATTCTCTTCAAAAACAGATGGTGTAGGCAAAATGATGTCCTGAATATATTGTACCCTGTAAGTCTGATGTATTTTTTGTCTTAGTTCAGAGTCTGTTATTGGTATAACCTCTTTAAACTTTGCAGTTTTGGTCAAGAATTCTCTATGTCTTTTTGGCTGAGCCAAAGCAGGGTCATATTCAAGGCATCCCACAACATCCATGATACACTCATCAGAAAACATCACCTCAAAAAGAGTTGCCTTATTTAGGAACAATATTCCTCTAAAAATTTCATATAGATGGTGTAAACCTTCAGTGTTTTCTAGGTTCTCACAAGCTTGGAACAGCTGCAGTAGTTTTTTAATATAGCCTTCATTTTCCAAGGCTAATGCCAGCTTTTCCCTACGGATAGGTGAGGAAAGAACTGAGGTAACTAAGTCAGCAATCTCTTCAAGTTTATTGAGTTCACAGGTGGGCAGGTCAATCAGATGACTAGTTTCAGGCATTTCTTCAAATCGCTCTTCTTCAGATTCATCAATGAGGTCTTGGGTGACTTCTACTGATGGGTCTTTACCTTGAACCTTTGAAACAAAGTATAGCTGGTAATCTCAGAATACAAAAAACTCAACATGCTGGAAATAAATTAACTGATAAAAATTGAATGAACAGTAGTAATATAGTCACTGTTAATTAAATGTGTTGGTGGGGCTGCCATATACCAAGCTTAGAGTCAGTTATTTTAGTATTAAGTAATGATTATAGATATTTCACCTGCAAATTTCCAAATTATAACTTCAAATTAACCAATCAGCTGATCTGAAGCAGACCTACAGTCAGTCATGCAAATCAGGTAAGAATATTGAGTAACTGTTTAATAATTCCACCACTATATCTAACAAATTTGAATTTGGTGGAAGGTTACACTTCTGTTTCTACCCCCAAATCATTGTTTCTGTCATTCATGCCATAAGCATGCCAGTCAACTTATTTCTGGTTCTGTCCCCTTTGAAATGAGTTCTTTGCCTCAGTGAAATTACTTACATGAAATATTTTGTAAACAAAAAAGATCTATAATTTTTTGTTTTTTTTTTTTGGGTCCGGTCATGGGGCCTGAACTCTGGGCCTGGGCGCTGTCCCTCAGCTCTTCAGCTCAAGGCTAGCACTCTACCACTTGAGCCACAGAGCCACTTCCGGCTTTTTTCTTTTTGCTTATGTGGTGCTGAGGAATCGAACCCAGGGCCTCAGGCATGCAAGGCAAGCGCTCTACCACTGAGCCACCTTCCCAGCCCAAGATCTATAATTTTTGTATGGAACTGTTAAAAGCCAGAGTTCTTGGTATGCCGTCCTTTTTTCCCATTGTGCAATGAGCTTAGAAACATTAACATTAATTCTATCAGTTTAGTGACTAAGAGGGCCTCAGGAGCAGAGTTCCCTGCTGTCTCAAACTGGACACATTATTGATAAAATAACTAATAATTGATAAAATAGAGAAAAACCAACTCAATCTAGAGTTGAAAAATAAAACATAGTTTACAGTTCTCTAGAATACCACACAGTAGTTAGAATAAACTCAATGTATATTCAGCAGTAACAAATATTACAAAATAAATGATTGATTTTTGCAGTAAAAACTGAATTAATCCTAGTAGATTAAGTTGCCTAGGAACTTAAATAACCCTTCCAAAAGTGAAAATAGTATAGTGGTCACAAGAACAAACACATGGGTAATAAAACAAAGGACATACAATGTGAACACTTATATCAGATGCTTAGAAGAGTGAAATCATGTTTATTTTACTGTCTCAGAATGGACTAGGGCATGAGAGGCTGTAAACTTTGAGGAATGACATTGCTCTGGGGAACATTTTGTCATACAATGTGAAGCATTAGACTTAAAATGTCTGAGTAGAAGTCTTACAAAATACCAGTATTTATTTTTCAGGTTATACCTATTATCAATACTATGATATGGTAAAACCATGGTATTGATTCACTTCCTTCTATTGAACAAAAATTTTATATTGATAATGATGGTCAAATGTACTGGGAAATTTCAATAAAGCTTCTTGAGGATTTAACACCAACAGAAAACAATTGGCCTTTGCTGAGTGCTGGTGGCTATGGTTAGTGCTGGGTGAGTATTACAATTAGAAGCCAGCTGAGACAGACAAATCCATAAGACTATTATTTCCATTAACCAGCAACAAGAGCTCTAACTGGAGGTGTGGCCCAAGTTTTGAGCAGAAAAAGCAGACCAAGAGTTTGAGGCTCTGAGTTTAAGCCATAGTACTGAGACACAAGACACAAAAACCCAACCAACCAACCTTCCTTCTCTCTGAAAAAGACAAATGAACGAAACATGACTAGTCCAAGGAAGAACTGGATTTGGTCAATTGTTGGCTCATTTCTATGCCAAAGTGTTCTGTACCAACTTACTATATGGTACATACTGCAATAGATCAAGGAAAGAAATGAGTAATCAAATTAATAGAAAAATGTGATGGCTTTATAGAACAGATTAGTTATTTGCCTAACCCACACTAGCTCCTTCAAATTTCAGGCCTATTCATAGTGATATTACTGTCATATAATTGAAACACTAAATAGACAAATATGATCATTGACAAGATGCTCTTGTGCCTTGCCCAAAGGTGTGGCTTTTGCCTAGTTTATGAAAGGTAGCACCTCTTCACGTGGAATATCCTGTCTTACAGGAATGACTTTTTACCTGAGGATCTTGGGCTAGTACACTTATTCCATGCTAAGTCTTTTTTTGATGGGAGCTTAGACTACAATTTAACATCTAGTCTAGAGATGTGGGAAGCTAAAGGTCAACATCAACCAAACTTACATGACTGATTTCCAATGAAAACCCTGGACACAAATGTTTGGATAAACTGTCTGGGTTAGTAATACTAACCATGTATGCTGTTACCTATCATTGCTGGATAAAGTGCTGTCTGTATGACTCTACAAGGAGTCACAACTAGAAACCTAAGCTCTTTGGAATCCTGCCTCCTTGTCCCATTTCGTATTTCTCATCTGTATCTTTTCACTGTAATGAACTGTAACCAGCCAATTTTGATGAGTTGACACTTTCCAATGAATTACTGAACCTGAGATGGTCTTGAACTACTGAACTACTTGAGTAAAAACAGTTAAGAGACAAATTTCAGCAAAAATTTCTAAGAAAATGTATGAATTCTACTGCTTAATAATGTATATTAATAATGCTCCAGTAACATGATGAATGTTAAGATGTGTTAGAAAAGAGGTAGACCATCTGTTTCCAGTTAGGAAAAGATCCATGTTTACATGTCATAGGGAACAGGCAGATTCGTATTAAATTTTCTTGAGCAACTTTAGTACATTGCCTGATACTATTATTGGGAGAACTAAAGGGGAAAACTTTGTGCTTAGATCCATAAAACTAACTAAAAAACCCTTAATTAGCTTAATAATTGCAACAAATGTTTCATACTAACATGAGATGCTAATCCTACTATTATATGTGAATTTGAGGAGCTTAAAGAAGTACTCAGTAATAGTGTATTATCTGTTAATTTTTTAATGTTCTAAAATAAAAATGTTAAAAAATAAAGCTACCTAAGAGTTACTGCATATTCTGCTACACTAAAAGTTCCATGTGGGTTAGAGTCATGATTTACTTTTGGTAATTAATGCCAGGCACATGGTATTTACAAAATTAGATAAATACACGATCAAATATTAGAAGAAAAAAGAAATCCAGATATCTGATCTTACTATCTTCTTCCATTTTTTAAAAAAGCTCTTGTCATTCTGTATCATATTTATTATGCTATCAAAAGCTGAAGTGGTAGACTGGGAAGGTGGCTTAGTGGTACAGTGCTTGCCTTGCAGGCATGAGGTCCTGGGTTCGATTCCTCAGTAGATTCTTTAGCCTTGAGCTGAAGAGCTAATGGACAATGCCCAGGACGAGTTCAGGCCCCACAACTGACAAAAAAAAAAAAACTAAAGTGGTAAAATAATTATGATAAAGTTGGCTTTTGTTTTTGAATTTTTAGGTTAAAGAATTAGTTGTGGAATATACAAAAGTTTCAGGGCTGGATATGTATTACAAAAAAAAAGCTAAAGTAGTAAAATAATTATGACAAAGTTGGCTTTTGTTTTTGAATTTTTATGTTAAAGAATTAGTTGCAGAATATACAAAAGTTTCAGGGCTGGATATGTAACTTGGTAGCAGAGTGCTTGCCTACTTTACATGAGACTCTAGTTTCCTTAGAGCCTAGGTTATCAAAATTTCATACTAATATATTGCTCTCCACATTCTTTTTTTTCTTTGCTAACACTGTAGCTTCAACTCAGGGCTGGGGCACTGTCCCTGAGCTTCTTTAGCTCACCACAGGGGCCACTTTCAGCCTTTTTTTTATGTAGTACTGAGGAACTGAACCCAGGTCTTCATGCATGCTAGGCAAGTACACTAGGCCACATTCCCAGCCCTTTCATATTCTAATATACATTACTGAAGTTGGAAGGAAAAAAAACGAAATCAAGAATGTCAAAGCATAAACATAAAAAGAACCTTACCTGACAAATTTTTTCCCAGATCTCATCACAGCCAGCTTTTTCCTGAAAACTTAGAGCCAGATCATAGTTCTCAGCTTCTGACCAAACAATTAATGTATCCTATTAAAAAAAAAAATCATGACAATAGAAAGGATATACCTAGAAAATATAGAAAATTGGAAATAGGGTAGCAAATGACAAAAATGATAAAAGCACTCTGATAAGCACAAGGAACAGTCACTGACACTGCAAAGCTATGTATTATAAATATTATAATATACTGCACATTACATTCTATGTTTTGTAACATGTAATACACTATGAACTTATATATACACATATAATATATATACGTATATATTTATAATATAAAGAAGCTCATAGATCTTGACTTATATTGCCAAGAATTAGCTATTTGTGGTCAAAATTACAATGCAGACATTCCAACCACATACACAGTTAAGGAAGCCATGTTATCCTTTCTGTTTAGCCAGTTGTCAACTAAGTACAAGTAGGCTAATATCTGAAAATATGCTATGATTTAATTGCTTTCGGTATTTTTTTTTAATTGGAAAAAGATATTTAGAATCTTAGGGGGCTGGGAAGGTGGCTCATAGAATCTTAGGAATTACAATAGTGAAGCTAAACTTTCTACTGGCAGGCCAGGTTATAGAAATACTAACTCAAAGTTTACTTTTCATAGAATTTCCTCAATTATATCCCTCTTAAAAGGTTATACTTTCAGAAAAAGGTTACAAATTCCTGTTACTAGAAATGTTTATATTTAAATTAAAATAAAATACTAAAAGCACTATGTAGGTATGTAAATAAACAATTTTTAGGACATACAATAAAATTTAAAATTGTTTCAATTTTAAAATTAAAAGATGTTCAGATAAGAATAGCTGAAATCTTGTGTTCTTTCTTTTTTTTTCCTTCTATTTTTGACAGATAAATTTGTCACCAAGTTTATCATTGTAAAATTTTACCAGGTTCTTCAATTGCTCCCACCATGACTCAAAAATAGAGCTGTTTTTACAAACATAGTTTTACTAAGAAATTCCATGTACAGAAAAAATATAAAACTACTTCGGGCGCCGGTGGCTCACACCTGTAATTCTAGCTACTCAGGAGGCTGAGATCTGAGGATCACGGTTCAAAGCCAGCCCGGGCAGGAACATCCATGAGACTCTTACCTCCAATAAACCACTAGAAGACTGGAAGTAGCGCTGTGGCTCAAACGGTAGAGCGCTTGCCTTGAGCTGAAGAGCGCAGGGACACGCCCAAGCCCAGAGTTCAAGCCCCACAACCGACCAAAAAAAGAAAAAAAAAAAAAAATATATATATATATAAATAAAACCAAATGCTTCTCTCATCAGAGTTGGCTAAAGCATTAGGGCACTTCTTACAAGGCTTCAAAAGAGCTTCATAAACAGTAGTCTCCAAAGATTTTTTTGATTGTGCACGTCAACTTACAGTGTATTATATAAATGAATGTTAGTAAAGTAATAGTTTTTATAAATACACTAAAATGTAAAAGGATTATATAACAGCAAAATAATATGTTTGAACTATAATAGCTCCATATTAATAGTTAACATTTTAAAATCTAATATAAACTTAGGGCATAATATACCCATTAATATCAATGAATACAAATCTAATTTTTAATTATTTTTTTCTAGCGTGGGAGATCCTAGGTGCTGTCCCTGAGCCATGAACCACAGCTCCACTCTCTGCTTTTTGGTGAAGGTAAGTCTCAGAGACTTTCTTGCCCAGGTGACTTTGAACCATGATTCTGAGATCCCATCCTCCTGAGTAGCTAGCATGAGCCATTGGTGCCCAGCTCACAAATCTGATTTATAACTATCCTTTTAATAACTCAACTTTTTGGGAGTATTAGCTCTTTTTCAGAGCTATTACCTTTCACTCACATGGCTAACAGCTAACACTAGGAGTGCAAATACCAGTCTGACCAATAACTTCATTTGCACTTAGCTGCAACCCTTTTTAAGGTACTTCATCCACTGTTATCAGAATAGTTGGGCTACAGCAATCCACAATAAAAAATGTTAGTTTCCCCTCAGAATGCCATGTATTTTTTTTAATTCAGTCACCTCACAGTTAGTAAACATTAACAAAAAAATCTGACAAAGTACAGACCCAGAGTGAGGTGGGCTCATGTCTGTAATCCTAGCTATTCAAGACACTGAAATCTGAGATCAACAGTTCTAGGCCAGTTCCACTGAAAAGCCCCTGTAAGACTCTTATCTCCATTTAACCATCAAACAGACCTTAAGTAGAGCTATATCTCAAGTGGTAGAGTGCTGGTCTTTAGCAAAAAAGCCCAAGGGACAGTGCCCAGGTCCTGAGTTCAGGTTCCAGAAACACCACCAAAACAAACAAACAAAGAAGACCCTGATTTCTTCTCAAATCCATTTCAGAGATCATAAGTACTACAGAATGGAATCCAAAAACTGTTCACATTGGGATCTAAAGCCCTTTCTATTTTGTCTCTAAGACAATGTCTAGATAAACAATGAAACATAAGTTAAGGTAATAGAGTGCTCTTTTCCATAATTTCCTTGTTTTATACTTTCCTGTTAATAACCTAACATTCATTCTTCTGATCCAATCAAAATCCCAGAAACTAATAGGAATTTACATTTAAAAGTCGCTTTTCAATTCGAAGAGGAATGACCCAAGCCTGTCTCAAGCAGCAGGTCTTGCGTAAGCTTTAAGAATCCTTATTTGTGGGGGCTGGGAAGGTGGCTCAGTGGTAGAGCGCTTGCCTTGCATGCTTGAGGCTCTGGGTTCGATTCCTCAGCACCACATAAGCAAAAAAAAAAAAAAAAAGCTGGAAGTGGTGCTGTGGCTCAAGTGGTAGAGTGCTAGCCTTGAGCTGAAGAGCTGAGGGACAGCGCCCAGGCCCAGAGTTCAGGCCCCACGACTGGACCCCCCCCCCCCCAAAAAAAAGAATCCTTATTTGTGTGTGTGTGTGTGTGTGTATGTATACATATTTTTTTTTTTCCTTTTTCCTGGCTTGAGGTTTTAATTCAGGGCTCTGCTTGCTAGGAGGTGCTCTACTAACCCTTTTTCAGTTGTTTTTAGGATCTTTTTTTATATCTGGGTGGGCCAAGACTATGATCCCTCTTTATTTGTGCTGTCACCAATGGGTATAGCCTCCCAAATATTTTACATCTGGCAGCCTTGAACTTGATCCCATTTCTCTGCCTATGAATTAGCTAGGATTAAAGATATAAGGCACAAATACCCATCTCCAGCTAACTCTTCTGATAAGCCAAATTTAAGAATGGACATTAGTGTATCTTCAGTTAAAATGTGGTAAAACTTGTCTTCATTGTAGGGTCCTACTCTAATTGGGTGAGAAATTTTACCCTATCTTTTCCATTCTTACTTCTCAGTAATTAAGCACTCAGAAGAAGCCTGTGCAGAAGTATTAATTCCATTGATCAAAGACTCAAAGAAGAGAATAGTACAAATATATTTATTTTTGGCTGGTCATGGGGCTTGAATTCCGGGCCTGGGCGCTATTCCTTAGCTCTTCAGCAAAAAGCAAACACTCTACCACTTGAGCCACTGCGCAACTTTTGGTTTTCTGAGTGGTTTATTGGAGATAAGAGCCTCATGGACTTTTCTTCCCGGGCTGGCTTTGGCTTTGGGCTGGCTTTGAACCTCGATCCTCAGATCTCAGCCTCCTGAGTAGCTAGGATTACAGGTGTGAGCTGCTGACGCCCAGCATACAAAAAATATTTAAAACAGAATTAAAAGGCAGGTGCCAGGGCTCATGCCTGGAATCCTAGCTGAGATCTGAGGATCATGTTTCAAAGCCAGCCCAGGCATGAAAGTTGGTTAGTCTTATCTCTAATTAACTACTAGAAAAAACAGAAGTGACGCTGTGGCTCAAAGTGGTAGAGTGCTAGACTTGAGCAAAAGAGTCCAGGCCTTGAATTCAAGCCCCACAACTGGGGCAAAAAAAAAAAAAAAAGACGGTCTCACCTATGAACTGTGATCTCAATGTCAGCTTCTCAAGTAGATGGATTACAGATGTAAGCAGAAAAGTCTGAAACTCATCTCAGACTTCCACCAAAAGCTGGAAGTGGAGCTGAGGCTCAAATGGTAGAAGCTAGCCTTGAGCACAAACGTTCAGGGACAGGGCCCACGCTCTGGTTCCAACCCAGTACTGGCACAAAACGAACAAACAAACAAAAAACAACAAAAAACACAAAAAATAATATAAAGTGTCAAATAGCAGAGTTTCCTACAAATTTCTAAGACATATATATAACCAACCTCAGTTCTTCACATGAAAGTCTCTTTTTAGGGCTGGGGAGGTGGCTCAGTGGTAGAGCACTTGCCTTGCATGCATGAGGCCCTGGGTTTGATTCCTCAGCACCACATAAACAAAAAGAAAAAGCCGGAAGTGGTGCTGTGGCTCAAGTGGTAGAGCACTAGCCTTCAGCTGAAGAGCTGAGGGATAGCGCCCAGGCCCCGAGTTCAGACCCCACGACTGACAAAAACAACAACAACGAAAGTCTCTTTTTAAACAAAGTGGACTTTCAACCACTGTAACTCTGTGTTACATCATCTGCCCATTTGTGCATAGCAAATGGGTTCATCTCTCTCATATAGTGTCTCTTTAAACTAAAATCAGGTTAGTTTTCCTAACTGAAATATTTAATTACTACTGTGTTCCTATAGAAACTAGATCTCAATGAGCTTGCAAGAATAACAGAAAAAGTTACAGAAACTAATACACACACAAGAATGATGGTGTAACTTTAGTGTCTGCAATCCCAGTGTTCCAAGCACGCAGGGATACAGAGTTCTGCCTGGGCTATACATAGGGAGTCTACCTTTTAAAAATCACATTTGGAGCTGGGAAGTTAGCTCGGTGGTAGAGCGCTTGCCTCACATGCATGAGGCCCTGGGTTCGATTCCTCAGCACCACATATGAAGAAAAAGGGTGGAAGTAGAGTTGTGGCTCAGGTGGTAGGGTGCTAGCCTTGAGCTGAAGAGCTGAGGAACAGTGCCCAGGCTCAGAGTTCAGGCCCCATGGCTAACCAACAAAACCGAAAAACCAAAAATAAAAAATTCAC